CTAATTACGAGAGCTCGAAACGAAGGGAAGGGGTCAAATGAAATATTTATGAATACTCATTTAAAATGAGTAACTATTGATTACTTACTGAAAGTCGAGTGTCAACTTTTAGACGATATAAGTACAGTATACACAAGTCGATTCCTTACGATATTTAATCCTATAAATTTACTACATATACTAAAAACAATAATCCCAAAAATCCCAAGAGCATGGGATTTTTGGGATTATTGGATGGAGCATGTGTGGATGGATGTTTTGCTCAATTACGCCAGTACGCCTGCATGGATCTGGATAAAATTGGACACGTCAATCATCAACAGCCTTTACTAGTCCACTGTTGGACATGTCTCTTCTTAAAAAGGAGATATTTGCTACGCTGGCCAGACCGGTTTCCTTCTCATTGTAGTGCTGTTCTTCTGCGGATTACTCCCTTCGTAGGGTGTTAAGACACCCCCGGGATTAATAGAGATGGTGTGACTCCGTATTCTTAATCCGTCACCACACGGATTTATAATATATAAATATTACTAGTAATAATATTACTGTTAAGGTTTGCTTGGACCCCATTCTATTTTAGTTTATAATGTACTACAGTTCTGTAAAGTATTATACCAACATCCTTTAAACATTGACGTTTCATTCTCAGTTTGTGGTTGTTATCTTTTATTTTGGACCCCTCGATTGGTGTACCGAGGGGTCCAAATTAAAAATAAAAGAGCAAACATAATTTAAGGATGTTTCCTTACATTTTATAGGGCACTTGTGGTGATCGTGAGCATATCTAGAATGTTAAAAATGCATTGCTTTAACAATGTAAAGCTCACGACAAACCAATGAATGATTTACCGTTTTCTACTGTCGACCTTGAGTCATTCATAGATTTTCAAAGACAATATTTATTTTTTTTATTACTCAAAACACGATGTAGTAAAGATAAAAGGTACATAAGGTAGCCAGTTTAACATGTTTTGGTAATCATTTAAGTGTGAAAATAATACTATGTTGTTTTAATTTAACTATAGTAATTTGAAAACAAAATGTTGTTTTAATTTATAGTATTGTTCGTGTGGTGTCGGATTAAGGCCCCGTCTGCACAGAGATATTTCTAATCTGTGATTTGATACAAAATGAACTCGAGAATTTTGGGAAAAAAAAAAATCTCGGTGAAATATTGGTGAAACGTGGGTGTCGTAAGAGCCGACTAAGGGGCTAACTACGCAAGACAAGAGCACTGCAGAGAGAAGGATAAATTGATACAAACCCTATTCCAACCCGTCTGGCCAGCGTGGTATAGAACACCAAAACCTCCTATCTAAGGAGAGGCCTATGTCCAGCAGTGGACTATTAGAGGCTGTAGATGTGTGATGTGATGGGAATAAAATAAATTTGAAGAGACTTTGTTTGTTCAAATACGCTAATCTCTTGTATTATTAGTCAGATTAAGACATAATTATATGTTACAAAAACAGGCGATTTTAGTAATAATGTGTAATTTTCATATATTGTCATTCTTACAATTGAGGCGAATCTAAAGACACCCCCCAGGCCAATTCGTCAAGCCGTTCCGACTACAGAGCGTGAAAAATAAATACACATATGTACATACAATCAGAAATCATAATCCTTCTTTCGCGCAGTCGGTTAATTAACAGTATATTTTTTTGTAATGTATATTTTCAATAACTAAACTTCTGTGAAGATAATAATCATTGGACATGGAAATTATTCCTATTTTTAAATAATAATAATATGATGAAACGATTGGTATTAGCAACTACGATTTCACCTGTGATTGTGATTTAGTCTTAGACAAAGATATATGACATCAAAATCAATAAAAAAAAAACTATCAAAAATTACGACCTTTTTTTTAGATTTGAAACTTTTGTGAATGCTAGCGTAATGGTTGGTGGCTTTGTAAACAAGTCACAGACGTGATCATATGATTTATCACAGGTAATTGTGATTTTATGTCATCCCTCATAATCATTGAGAGATAAAATCTGGTTAATACAGACAGTGGTACTTTGTTTCGTAAGAGATTGTATCAATTTGATAAATATCGATAGCATCGAAATAATAGGCTAACCTCGTAACAACGCAAGTAAACAAAAAACCGGCCAAGTGCCTGTCAGACCACTCGCAGTGTAAGGTTTCGTATATTTATTTTTCAAATTTATATTTTAACACTTTGTTGGCGTCATTAATATACATACCTAGTATAATAATAAAGTGTAGGAAAGCGAAAGATGAATGTTACACATCAAAAGCCTGTTTTAAAATAAAAACAATTTACACAATAAAACTAAGAAATCTTTCCTTTAGCAGAAAGATAAAAAATAGTAATGGTATGAAACTGCGGTCTTTATGAGATGCAAAAATTCACTTCTTTAGTCTGGCTGCTCAGATCTGAACAGAAATCTGCTGTGCACCACTTTTTGAGTATTAATACAACAGGAAGTGTTTCCTATGATTTTCTAATTCTTTAAGTTTTTCTGAATGTGACTTTAATGGAGATTGGTGAGTGCGAGTTGCAGGGTGGAACGTTACCCAGCTACAAAAACTTAAAAAAGTGGCTGAGAAAACAACCATACAGAAATTATAGAAGTTTTCAACATAAATGATAAAAGAATAATACCTATACATTTGCATCTACAGAAAAAACGAAACAGAGATTCCATAATAGCATCAACAAAGGCGTGTTTTATTAAAATACACTTTCTAATACAATAAAAAATGGTTTTCTTCTTATATTTTTTAATTATTAGAATATACAACCTTCAACTCACAAGAACACACATTGTCTGAGAATATATTCAGCTTTGAATACTCATTAATGATAGTAAAAGTTCTATACAAATGAAATAAGCATTATTTCCCAGGAAATAAGAGCATAACAATATATTCACACGAAACAAACTACAATTGTTAGAAAGTTATAGGCCATTACAAATACCACAAAATCAAGATTACCATTTATGTTAATCACACATACTTAAAAGTGGTTACTTGGCAACGTACGTGGTAATGCCTTGTGTTTGTAAACAGATTTATCTGCAATTAGTTGGCAGTCTAAATTAGTCCGCTTAAATTTTTTAAGAACATATGTCGCGGGGGACTTTTACAAACATAAATGAAACAAACGCAAAGAAAACCCAGACTCAGAACAACAATTTGTGGATCACACTAAGCATTTACAAGCTTATTACAAGCTGTACTTAGTTTAGGACTAGATAGTGTTGTGTGAATGTGGTGAAATATTGTATTATTATTAAGGCAAGTCTCTGACTGTCACCAATGTCTGACCTAACTAATATTTAAACTTTCACACCTAAACACTTAATCAATGACCATGATATTTTGCATTAATACATTATTCATTATCAAGTGTAAAAGGGCTTAGAACACTTTCCAACCCAAAATCCTGAGGAATAGAAAGTTTTATACAACCATCTAGTTTTTAAATTTTACAATGACACGAAAAAGCCAAGGGTAAGGAGCTAGCAACAATTGTCACACAATTGATTCAAATTGTCACTTTTTTTAATTTATCACAAAAATGCACAATAATAAATTTCGTGATAAGAAACTTGGTAACGAAAGTCTATGAACAATTTTTTTTAACTATCCACTTCGCTTTTTTTTTCAAGAAACTTAGTCAGCCTGACAGGCTCTCATTATTACAGACTACACAGATATTAGTTTAACTAATATTATTAAAAGAAATCTTTTTTTTGTTTAAAAATAAATCATCATTAGAGTAGACATATCAGTAAATCTGTATATATATCCCTACTAATACATTTTATTAAGAAAACAGTGAGTTTGTGTGTTTGTTTGCGACACTTCATATATATAATACTTTTATAATATAAAACTTTGAAATTTTAATCCTGAACACATTTCCAATGGTACAGAATGGTTTCATCTACGAAATTAGTTCCTGATGTATAGAAAAATAAAATAATTTGTAAGTATGACCACAGGCAAAAGCTGGCTGTTAATAAATGTTTCTTTGTTTGTATGTCAATAAAACATTAAGATTAGACATAAAGAGTACAGAAAAGGACATTGGGCAACTTTGAACCAGAATTAAAAGTACTGTTTCGAAGGCACATCTAACAACAACTAAAATGAGAACACCATCAGAAACAACCAACAAAAGCTCCTTATAAATAATTTCTTACAAAAGTGTGTACGTAGACTTATTTAGTAATTTTATTGCACTATTACTAAAAATAAATAAATGTATTAGACATTAATATCAGCACAAAGGCAGAGAGCATGTAGATGTTTTCCTATCAAACCTAAATAAAAAATAGAACATCCTAGAACACAAAAAAACTGTGTTAAAAAGTAATTTCTCATAATAGCTACAAAATAATAAAAAGTTTAATTTTCATGTTTCTATGTCACATAAAAACATCATTAACGGCAACATTCCTACATAAATATGTTGTACATAAGACTGTTTGCATACCTTTTGTTCGTCTAGGAATTTCGATGAGAGCTGGTAAGCTATGGCAGAGAACATCACTACGCACTCAGGACCGTCTCCAAGACTTGGGAGACGCGAGAGAGAGCCATAACACAACCATTATTCACCAAAGTATTAATGATGTGTAGGAATATTAAGTAACGCGCCGCAATCGATTATTATAAACAACAAAATTTAAATGCGGAAGAATATCGCGGAAAATCAATTACAAGTCCAGCAAACGAGTGACTCACGACCGAATCCTGGTGAGACGCCTTATGGTATCTCATACAAACAATGAACTGTACTTCACGCAGCCCGTGACATTACCGTAGTAGTCCGCTACCTAACCAGGTCGAGAAAAGTGCGATAACACGTGAGAATCGTAAGACAATGCGCGAGAAACTGTGGGAGAATGCGAGGCGTTGCCATTGTAGTAAACATTAACATCACGTCATTGACCGACACATAACAACCACTGCACTTTCTGAACGACACTGTACAAGATTCAAGAACTTACCCAAGTATAAAGATTCCGTGGATTTGTCCTTGGATTTGGAGTTTCTGTGTAAATTGATTTCACTTATTTCGTCAATGTTCACTTACTTTACACGACTGTCAAAAAAGGGTTGATGATCGGCGCCGATGTCGTAGGTGGCGACCTCTTTATGGAAGTTCAATTGATTTGTAAAATATTTCCTAACATTTAGGGAAATTTTAAAATCTGAGTAGAATACAATTTTTATCAAAATTTAGAATTTTTTGGGTTGTTTTGTAATTCAATTTGTTGGAAAGAAGTTCCTTATCGAATGTTACACACTCTGAGTGGATGGGAGCGAGACAGAAAAAATGTGTAACAAGACTTTTTTCCGACATTTCGTGTCCCAGATCATTCAGTGTTCAATTTATCTTTATTTATTAAGGTGTATGTTATGAAAAAAATCAAATTTAGTCCATTAAGATGATATTTTATAATACAAATTAAAATGTCTGTATGAGTTTGCTACGTCTGCCAAAAAGTAAAAGGAATAGATCCATAGACCCCTCACGCTGTTTTTTTTATTTTCATTGATATCAAAGTTCTTCTTTCTAAAGTGCACGGTTATTGTACCATAACAACCTAAAAATCTGGTATCACCAAGCACCCAGCATGTTTTTACTCCACGCACTCAAATTTTTTATGCCATGAAAGCAGTTGAAACAAACCTACGGCGCATAAGTTTGTAGTAGTAGTAATGACTTAAACTACACCAAGTTTATTATTCTTGCATTACCAGGACTAACCTTCAGTAATCGGCTAACGGCTTATATTATATTTAATATACAACATTTTCTTTTTTTATATAAATATATATATATACATTTATATAAATGTAGTGTATATACTTGATGTGATTTATATGGATCTAAGTATCGTATCGCCTCGGTTCGAAACCACCTTCTTAGCTGCCTCAGCCAGTATTGCAATCCTAGGCATCGAGATATCGAGCGAAGTCCAGTTTCGCGGTCATTTAGCGGGTAAGGTCAAATTGGCCTCGAAGAAGCTCGGTGTGCTGAACAAACAGACACGGAATTTTCATCCCCACCACTTGGGTAATTGGCCCTCCACCGCTGTGCGCTTTTCAAGACACTTTTTACCTCGCACTACCAATCTGTGGAACAAGTCATCGGCTGCGTTCTTCTTAGTTGCTTTCCATCAGGTCTGCTCGTTTGCCCCCTATTCCTTAAAAAAAAGTATATAGTGTTGTATAATGTATATTTTAGTTGAATAGTAATGTTATATCCTTGAACTACGGGTATATAATTTAAACCCAATGGACTGGAAATTTGTACATATATTGATAAAACAATTTAAAATATGGCGTGCGATGCTTGCGGACTTCAGTGCCCATGGGAACAGCCGCCGCACGCACTCCAGGCCGCGCCCCGCGGCTCCCTGCACAGCTGACGGTTCCGAAGACAACCGAGAGTAGCCGAAACACGATGACGGCGCAAGAACAAGTAATGCAATCTATGTGCACCTACCACTAACAATTTATACACCACCCAAAGAGAATGCCCTTATCATCCACCATAGTCCGCCCATGTACAAGATATTATGCCCATAAGGTTGTGTAAATAAAATAAATAATGCACGACACGACACTACGTCACCAGGACATTGCTTTATGTTCGAACTTTTTTTCTTGTAGGTAAATTTAAATTTAGATTGTGGCAGTATCATAAGTCTTTGAAATTTTAAGTCACGTTCAAAAACGTTTAATAGAATAAAACGTTTCGTTACTCCTGGTTCTTGTATATGTATAAAGTAGTAGTGGTTTTGAAAAAACAAAACTCGTTAAACGTCAAAACAGTCGTGTTTCTTGTTTGCGTGCGATTATTTACTAATTATTTACCGTCAAAACAAACATGTATGTTTATTAATTCGTGCGCAGTTTGTTTGTGATAAAAATAAAATGATGTCAGGGGTTAAGTTGGATGTCCTCTGGTCCCCAATACACCATGATAAGTTTATAATATGGGGCCCAGACATAACCTTATACGAAGTTTCTCGTATCAAGGAAATAGAGAAGAAAACAACTTGTATGTATTTTATTACAATCCATAGTTATTAAATTTTTAGGTCTTCATAGTGTAAGATTTTGATGATTGCTTTCTTAGCTTTCCCTAAGTTTCATAGTACTTATAAAAGTTGATCACCACAAAGACCTACTAATATTTTTTACAAAAGTTTACTTGTTCTCTATTATTTCTAGAACAAAGTATCTTATCTATTTATTGTTTCTTATCTGTTTTGAACACCACATTTCTTGAATTTAGGTCTCTTAGTTAGTATAACTGTGCCAAAAAAAACAAAGATATGCCAAAAATTATAACCAACTTAACATAATTAATAATAATTTATTGAAATTATTTACAAGGTTATCATGTTGTACATTGTCTCGATTATTATTATTAAAGAGCAATTTTTTCTCACAAAGCCTATTTTCTGCTAGAAGTGAGATACTCCACATCATGCATTGTAAACTTTACAATCTGTATGCAAATCCCTAACAAAATAGCACATAAAGTAGATTAGTAGTCTACCGTATGAAAGTTATGCTTCTGCTGGCTCAAGTGGATTGATACCACAGCCTCAACGAAAACAAGCAATTTTTTTTTGTTGCTTTTTCCCGAGCGAGTTACTGAAGTACCAAAAATCCTCTCCTCTTAAATCTGAGTGAAGGGGGCCCAAAAGGCAGCAACACACACCTGTGTCTCTCACAGGTGTTCTTGGTGACAGTGGTCAGTATAAAAAAATACAGTTTCACTCCGAGAGTGCCGACAAAAGTGAGAATATAAAAGAAATTGATTATAACAGGTTTTATGTTTTTTGTTTCGATTCAAAAAGTACCAACATGAATATGTTATACATATGTACACAATATATGTAGTTATGTTATCAAGTTTTTTCAATCCAAACTCAACTGTGTAAACGGGGCCAATATATATAGATACTTATATACAAAGGTGTCGGTCATCTTCCAAAAAAACATTCTTCTGTTTGTTGTTCAAAAATGCCCAACGCGCCTATAGAAGTTTTCACTTTAAAACATTAATTTTTATGTTTTTCTTTTATGATATCTCATTTATCAATCAGAATTATTCAAAGGCATTCCTTTTATAGTACTGTCGTTTGCCAATTTTTTCTCTTTCACTTTTAGTTACTCCAATATCTGCAACCCGTGGAGCGACTGTCATAGCGTCACAGAGTGCAAGTGGTGTCCGATGCGTTGACATCAGTGCAATCCCTGAGCAACCGGAACCATTACTGGCATTAGGTTACACAAGTGGTAGGGTAGCATTAACCTCCCTGAAGCAGACATATGATCCACTCGGACTTGTTGGAAGGGAGTTTTGTGAGTCTTAAATATTGTATATTTTATTTCATTAATGAATATAAAGGGTCACCTATTTTAATTTTAAAACCATTGTGGTCCAAATGACGAAATTCTTTTATTGAAAACTACTTAAATAATATAGATAAAACTCAAACTCAAATAATTTTTATTGAATAGGCCTTGTTAGATTTGTAACGTAAGTTTTGTTTTAAAAGACAACTCCCGCATTGGGAATATATATCCTGTGTCGCAGGGGACTTTACAAACATACATGAAACAGACACAAAAAACACCCAGACTCATCAGCAGTAGAAAACCATTACGCTTAAACCATTACGCCATCTGTGCAGTCAGCCAGTTGTATATAAAGTCACATAAACATATCCAATTCATATTCAAATCTCTAGGTTTTAGGGATTGTGACTGCTTACTCAGAGGTTGTGGATTTGATTACCAAGTATAAATAATAATTTTATGATAAGCATAATCATTTGTTGAGTCTGGGTGTAATTTATCTGTAACAAATATGTATTTAGTAATACATTATGTTTATCAGCATTCTAGTTACCATGTACAGATTTACCTGCTTTGCTTCATAGAATAACATTATGCTATTAGTTTATTTTTATTAAAAATGTAATAGAGAACAATAAAAGTTTTGCCCAGTAGGCCAAAACCTCCTTTCTAAGGAGAGGCCTATGTCCAGCAGTGGACTAGTAGAGGCTGTTGATGATGATGATGATGATGAGCAGGTTCATGTTGTTCTTTAACTTGGATTCTTCTGCAACAGTTAATGTAACGCCATCAGTTTCACTGACACACAAACACCCATATCATATACCATCTTTAAGTTGGAGTATGAACCAATTAAGAGTTAAAATTTGGCAGCCTCCCGTCACCCAAGACTATGCAACTCTGTATCTTGGAGCCATCAAGAGACGAATATGCTGGCGGTGGCCATGGAAAAACACCGTAGTGACCACTGCATCCTGCTATGGGATGTGTACCGGGGATCCATGCTGTGTGATGAGGCTAGAGGTAAGATCTTTCTTCTACAAAGATTTTAAAAATCTCTGCAACAGTCATTAATAAACCAAACACCGCTTACTAATCTTTTAGCTGGTGAGAGTGCTTCTCCAACACCAGACCCAGCGAAGCCAGTAGCAGAGATGGGACTGTCAGAGACAGCACACTGTGTCACGTGGGCTAACTTTTCACCGCGAACTCTCATAGCGTCCATGAATTTGAAGTACATCAAGATATTTGATCTTAGAGGTATGTTAGGTGTTAAATACTATACTGTCCGATTATTGGGCAAAAATGAGCTCCACAGGGGTCCTTAAGCATGGTGAGAAACGATTTGTAGAACAGTTGATTACAACCAGCCGACCTCCACGTGACGAACATTTAGTACCACACACGAAACTGTTCATATGGGAACTAATTATCAGTTGTGCACAAACAGTTGTCGTTTTATGATTATTTGTATGAATTTGTCAGACTTATCCAACAAAGCGGTGAACACAACAACTACTCGCTATTGCTACGGCGTGTGCGCGGAGCCGTGCGGCGGTTGGCAGGTGGCGTCGCGGGGCGAGGGCGTGGCGTGCGTGTGGGACGTGCGCGCTTTGCAGAGGCCGCTGTTAACCCTTCAGCATCCCAAGCCACTCACTCATCTACAGTGGTGTCCCACAAGGTATTTATAAAGCTTGCAGTTAGTTCTACAAAAAAAATGATTTTTTCACAAGCAATTGACTAAGCTTTATTCATAATCCACATGTTTATTGCAGTACTCCTAAACGTAAAGTAGTGTAAGACTTCTTCCAAGTAACATTGTGGACTTAACACGACTTCTGCGCATAGTTGAGTTCTCTGTTTACACTTCACGAGCTCAAACTGTTCCTTCTTTGCAATGGTGTCCCACAGGGATTTATTTAAGGTCCATGGGAAAAAAAAATTTGAAGTTCAGGCAAATATTGTAGCGGTTACATGTGGCTTACATGAAACTGTAAATCCCAAGTCCCTCAAACCTTGGCACCTTCGTTAGCTATATTAAATAGCTTGTTATCGATTCATTGGGATTAGTTTGAAGAACATATTAAATGTTAGACTAGAACCCTGGATAGGCAGGATTGATATACTTTTGAAATCATATTTTCTTGAGCTAGACGGACCGTAAGAAGTGCTCACAGTCCTTCTAAGATTTACCTCATTAATTTTTTGGTATGCTGTATAATTATGATACAATAAAATTTCTATTTTCAGACGAAACCTACTTCTTTCTTTACAACGTGATTCAAGCACATTGCGCGTTCACGACATTCAGCAAGCGAGTGACAACAAGATGAACCTTATGAAGAACGATAATGGGGTAAGCTGTTAATTGCTTATTTATTAATTAGATAAATTTAAAATGGACGCTGTTTGGAAGCAATGGACATCACCAATGTGTCTTTTTGTCCGTTACTGTGCCAGTGTTATCTCGCACAGCAAGGGCACTCTGCTGAATTTTGCTTTCTATAATTCTAGGTCATATAATGAATAAAAAATCACAGCATTTACAGTTAGTAGGTAGTTAATTGTTACTATACTTAAATTGATATCACCTATGTATTTACATTATGGAAGCAATAAAGTATTGAGTATTAAGTTCAAGATGCAGCAAAATTCCCCTTTTGGATCTCGTTGCAAATCTCATTACAGAAATATAAACGAGTTTTAATATCAGTTGTCTAGTACCCATAGTTCAGCTTAGTTTGGGACTAGATGGCGTTGTGTGAATGTGGTAGAATACTATTATATTATATTTATTAATAATGAAATTTTCCATACAGTTAAACGATATATATTTCCACACGCTTCATCTACAATGGATGCTAAAATCTAATTGAAATTGTAAAAAAAATGCAAATAAACTAAGAGGGTTAAATCAGTTTTAAATCAGTAAGTAATCAGTTTATTGAATTATTTTTCTCTCTTTATGTTCAGACGACCGCTACAGCCGTGGAAGCTGAACTCGAGGAACAGTACTCCCGCGGCCCCAGCGTTATAGAACGTGACGTGTCTCCCTCGCCCGCTGTGTCTGTGGTTACGTTCAGCTGCCATCCCGCTGATGAGGCGAGACTTCTGTGTGTCTGTGCCAATGGTATGTACTCGTATATATGTATTTAGAAATAAATAAATAGGATTATCAGCGGTCCGGTTACCATAGCACAGGCTCTGCTTATTTGGGATCAGACTGCCGTGTGTGAGATATTATCATCATCATCATCAACAGCCTTTAATAGTCCACTGCTGGACATAAGCCTCTCCTGAGAAAGGAGGTTTTGGCCTACTATACCACGCTGGCCACGTTACGAACCTAGTGTTGTGTGATTGTTAGAAAGAGAATATGACTGGAAAGGAAAGTGCGCCGTAAAATGACGTAAAAAGAAGAATATATAAGAAGAATAATACGTATATAAGATATTGCGCCAAATTCCAATAAAATTGGGCGAAATAGCGACTCTAAACAGCTCTTTGCAGGTGAAACTGCAGAGAACGGCTATCCCCGTTCTTTATCAGCGATGTTTCTCCTCAGGTTCGTTTGTGGACTACACGGTGTGTGAGCGCGTGACTGTCGCTTGGGGAGGAAATGGCACTCTGCTGTGGACGGGAGCAGGAGGAGTGGGGGGAGGGGGAGCTCTGCGCATGATGCGGGACGACTTCTACGCAGCCATTGGAGATGTGTCCTATATTATGAAAAGAAGGGCGCAGACTGATTATGGACTTAAGGTCTGTGTTTTGCATTATCATATGATCTTCTGTTATATTGTATGGAGTGTTGTAGTAATAGGTAGATATTGGATCAAATGTTGAAGAAGAATAAAATACACTGGTTAATTTGTTGAAAAACGCAAGATAGCTTATGGTTATTAAAATAGTAAATTTTATCATCTCTTTCTTTCATTAATTTCATTTTTCAGCTTGACGATCTTTATAAAACCTTAGATATTGTACACTATAACACCATCTTTATGTAAAATATGATAATTTTACTAAATTAATAATCTAATTTTTGAAATAATTAATTTTGCGTACCAGCATCAAATCATTACCCAGTAAGACGGATTAGATAAACAATACATATTAAACAGTACAGAGTGCCACAGGGTAACGCTTAAGGGCCCTTTCTTTTTTTTCATTTAATAAATTATTCTTTATTTACTAAAAGGTCCATAATTTGTCACGCTATGTTTATTTAGTTTTGACTGCTATACAATGACAACATATAAATTGTTTTCAGCCAGACCTATGGCAAAATGCAGATCTGGCTGATGACGATGCTCTCAGTGGACTCTGGCATTTCTTGGCATTGAGCAAGTCGCTAGTTGAGGATGGTAAGTTTTGACATCCCTTTTTACGAATAGAATTCTTCAATTTTAAAAACAATTTAAGTATTATTTAGTAAATTACTTATTTACAGATCTGTAATTTGTTTTCATAAATTACAAATAGGTGAAATGACAATAGTAACGGAATGTAGATCTTAGATGATCGAGTAGTTTATTTTTCCAATGGCAAGGGAATTTGTAAAGGTTTATCCAGATTTGTAACTTTATTTCATCATTTGAACTTACAAGTGATCGTTGGGTTAAATCTTCTTTAAATATTATTGAATTATTTAAAACGTATGTGTAATGTTATTGCAGGTTGTATCCGCAGCAGTCCCTGGAAGCATCCTGGAGTACGTACAGTTTTGCGCTCCGCGGGAGACGGTGGCTATCGCTCCGAGATGGTTCCTTCCATACTACCGGACTTGCCTAATCGAAGAGTTACAATATACAGGTCTGGACCGAGAGATATTTAAGATTTCTCTGATCTAAGAAAGATGTGTGGAAGTGTTGATAGATAACAGTTTAGAATAGGTGTTTGGAAAAGAGCTGGTTCCAAAAGAGCGAGATTTCTTTATGCATTTCGGTGTGTTTTATCGTTTGTCACGTTAGAACTCTTATAAATCGATTCGGAAAATATTTTTTGATTTAGAAAGAAAAATGGGTTTAGAATATGCTTTACACCTTTAGCGGTCATTACCTCTAAGGGTGGAAAATCAAGTAAGAAGAAACGGTCGGTGAGCATCGATTATTACGTAGGCGTATTTAAATCGGTGATATTTTGAACTGATAGTTTTTCGAGCTGTGGAATGAAGGAGTAAAGCGTGCGTGTGCGTGTGTCCGGCAGGAGCGCGGAGCGCACGCGCGCGCTGCAGCTGTGCGGCTGGGGCTGGGGCTGGGAGAACGCGCTGGCCGGCGTGGAGCGCGCCGAGGCCGAGGGCACGCCGTGCCGTGCCGCGGCGCTGGCCGCCTTCCAGCTGCGCGTGCGCGCCGCGCTCGACGTGCTGGCGCGCGCGCGCGAGCCGGCGCTGCGCGTGGCGGCGCTGGCGCTGGCGGGGCTGAGCGACGAGCGGCTGTGGCGCGACGCGCACGCGCACGCGCACCACGCGCTGCCCGACCCCTACCTGCGCGCGCTGCTGCGCTTCCTGGCCGCCTCCGCGCCCGCGCACCCGCCGCACGCGCCGCAGCCGCCCCCGGCCTACCCCGACCTCTCCGCAGTGCTGGTACTCGCTCTCCCGCTACTACATATCGCGGCTCACCCCGACCTTTCGTGACGCCGACTCCTTCCTTAAATATCCATCGGATCTAAATTACATGTGTCGTATGACTCCTACTTTCTATTTTGAAACCTCGTTTTAAAAAATCGACACCATCGATATTTCCAAAACGATACGACTTTCAAACCTTCAGAAAAGATCGTACTCCTTCCTCGAAAGCCGGCTACGCGCTTACGCGATATTGGGTCTTCCTCTAAAACGTACTCAAATAACGAACAGTTCCAGTGCATAGTTTCCCACGTAATCAAATGATCTCCTCCTAACATACCCACTTCATTCTACTCTCTAACAGCTTCTCCACAATATCGCAGACTCCCAGACTTCCTCATATGTACTCATATCGGATCTTACCCATCCTAGTTACGCTGCACGTACATTTTAGCATCTTCATCTCCGCAACATGAATGGCATGATCATACCACTGAATGGGTGCCCATGTCTCATAGCCATAAATTAAAACTAGCCCACCTAATTTTAACTGACCACCATTAACACCTAATTTAAGCAATTTACATTTAAGATAAGTCAAATATTTAAAATGTTATTAATTTTTAAGAAAACTTATAAATTTTTGTTTTAACTGCCTAGGTGGCGCAGTAATAGTTTTTGCGACTGCTATGCTGAGGTCTCGGGTTCGATTCCCGGGTCGGACCAAATCTTTGTATGATCTGCAAATATTTGTTTTAGAGTTAGGTATCTTCTATGTACAAAATATATGTATTTACAAAAATATGCACATAGTATTCTATCAGTCATTCTAGCTTACATAGTAAAAGCTCTGCCTAGTTTGAAACTAGATGGCGTTGTGTGTCAGATGTCCGAAATATAAATACATTATTATTATTATTTAAAATATACGGATATAATCACTACATCCAGCGCTATGCTTCACTCTCATTGAAAATCCCCATTATGTCAAAAACCATGAAAACTATAATTACTTAACTATCAGTTATAATAACATCTTAGGAGCGACCTACATAAAATAAAAAGCATACGTCCTAACGCGGCGAGGCCGCGCCGCCACAGGCTGCTCGAGTATTTATAATAAACACCCCCTTGTCATAACGTATCTTTGTTTAATTTCTTCATCAAGAACAGCCCTAAAACATTTATGAGCAAAACATGAATTCCTTGCTTGATAAGATTACAATTATCTATTATTAAATTTAAAACTTGTACTCTGTATGTTATTAAGGATGAGACGGGAATGCGTCTAGAAGACCGCGTGGCGTTCGCGTGCATCTTCCTCTCGGACACGAAGCTGCACGACTACATCCGACAGACGTGCGACTCGCTCATCGAACAGGGCGACCTCTCCGGCATACTGCTCACTGGTAAACATATATATATATATATATACTAGCTGACCCGGCAAACGTTGTATTGCCATATACATTATTTTATTGAAAAAAATATTTAGGGGTGGGTCATCCTTGTCACTTAGCTGGAGGTCGTGGGTTCGATTCCCGCCCAGGACAAATAATTGTGTGATGAGCACGATCATTTGTTCTGTGTCTGGGTGTAATTTATCTATATTATGTATGTATTTAGTAATATATAAGTATGTTTATCAGCAGTCTGGTTACCATAGCACAGGCTCTGCCTAGTTTGACGGCCGTGTGTGAAATGATTATTATTGTTATTATTTAGGGATATGAAAAATAGATGTTGGCAGATTCTCAGACATTTGTGCAAAATTTCATGTTTTTAGATCCAGCGGTTTCAAGTTGTGAATCAATCTGTCAATTTCTTCTATTATAGATATAGATTTAACACCCATTTTCATAGGTTAAAGAAATTTTTTAAACTTTCCCTGTTGGTGTTGTGAGATCCGAGTAAGGGAGCAAACTATGCAGGATAACAGAGAAAAACTTGACACAAACCCTATACCAACCTGTCTGGCGATCCTCCATTCTAATGAGAGGCCTATGTCCAGCAGTGGACTATCAAATGCTAACGGTCATCAAAACCAACGTGAAAACCTACAGAAAAAATAAACAAGTATTGACATTATTTTTAAGTACTGTATTAATTTGTGGGATAATGTAATAAAATTATTTCATTGATTTGCGATATCAATGAGAGAAAAAAGAATGTTATGGCAGCGGTGGGATTCGAACCCACGCCTCCGAAGAGACTGGTGCCTTAAACCAGCGCCTTAGACCGCTCGGCCACGCTACCCGTGTCAACTTTTTCTATAAATTGTTTCCTGTATTATCATAGACTACAAAGCAAACTAAAAAAAAAGCGACTGAACTATTAGTTAATTCGAAGAAGTGACGTCAGCTGTACCTAGATATCGCATAAGTTGCAGTTTACCTAAAAAAGGGTGTTGACAGAACGCTAATAGTTTATTTATTTTTTGTAATCGCAACTCAGAAGTTATAAGTGTATTGCCGCCTTTTGCTTTCCCTTACGAGAAAGAGGGGCGGGGGAGGGGGTTGTAGAGCAGTAACTGACGATGTATGAGGGTGCGGCAGGCGCGTCCCCCGAGGGCATCTCGCTGCTGCAGCGCTGGGTGGAGAGGTGCGGCGACGTGCAGTCCGTGGCGCTGGTGGCGGCGCGCTGCTTCACGCCCGACCTGCTCAAGGACCCGCGCGCGCTCAACTGGCTCGACAGGTCAGACCTTGTCACACTACTTTGGTTTTCTTTTAAAGTTTGTTAATTACCTATATTTATTTCTACTGACATTTTACAATAGATTTTATAAGAGGTAGAGCGATGCTTCGACGCAATGATTCTGACTGGGCAAGGGAGCTGGTAATGGCCAATTTAAATTAAGAAAAAACTTGACTTAATTCGATTAAGTTTTAATTTAAGTGAAGTTAAGTGAAAGTGTGGCGCCTTTTCTGCATTTTTTTATTACACAATAAAGTTTACAAAATTACACAATGAGACTTATCTGTGTATTGACGGATTAAGAATACAGAGTGTCACCACCCCTGTTCATCCCGTGGGTGTCGTAAGAGCCGACTAAGGGAGCAAACTACGCAGGACAACAGCACTGCAAAGAGAAGGGGAAAACTTTACACAAACCCTATACCAACCCGTCTGTCGAGCGTGGTATAGTAGGCCAAAACATCCTTTCTAAGGAGAGGCTAATGTCCAGCTGTGGACTATTTAAGGCTGTTAAAGTTTAATCTGAATGAGACATGAGCTTAGATGGCGCTTTGATAACATAAATGGAAGTTGGTTATTTTAATATTTATTACAATAGTTGACGGGCTTGTGTGCGTATTGGTGAGTGACCCTGACTGCTCAGCCGGAAGTCATGAGTTCGATTCCTACCCAGAACAAATTAGTGTGTGGTAATTCACATAATGTATGGCACACGATCATTTGATTAGGGTGACGATGTAATCTGTCTGTGTCTGGATATAATTTATCTATAATATGTATATATATTGAAATAAAAAATTATTACGTTTATCAGCAGTCTGGTTACTGCATTCTGTGTATCTGTGTGAAAAATTAAAATCTATACAAATAAATAAAATTGAAGTGTCTGTTTGTGATGTCAAAATTATAGGTCTTTTTCATGCTGTCACGGTTATTCGCACGATACCTATGTCTAAAAACCAACTTTTTTTTTGTCTGTCTGTCTGTCTTTTTGTTCCGGGTAATCTTCTAAACGGCTGCCCCTATTTCGATAATATTTTACTAACAGGTAGCTGTCTGCATAAGGAATAACATAGACTATTCTTCCTCTCAGAAAAATATTGGGAATATATCCTGTGTCGCGGGGGACTACAAAAATACATGCAACGAACACAAAGAACACCCAGACTCAGAACAACAATTTGTGGATCACACAAAGTGTCGTCTCATGTGAGGTTTGAACCCACAACACTCAGCTTAGAAGGAAGCGGCGTGGCGACCGCCTTAACCACTACGCCATCCGTGCAGTCTTAAAAAATATTATTACAAGTGTTTCAATATCATGAGGTGACGAGGATTAGATGATAAAATTGAGTGCGTGACACGTGAGGTAGCGTGGCCCAGCGGTCTGAGACCGAACTTTTCATTACGAGAATAGACTAGTGTCCACTAATAAAAAATTGCTTGGTTTATAGTTTTAAATTATAAATAAAGAGACATAGATAAGAAAAAACCAGTCTATTTCTCATAAAAATTAAAGATTATTAATATTTTTTTAAATAAATTCGTACAAAATAGGCATTAAGTCAAGAAAAACGAACACCAATCAGAAAGTGTTACGTCACACCACGCAAAACATCATTGTTGTTGTTGATGTTTTCATACAACAGAGCAGGTTATTCCTTATTCATTTTTAGAAAACGGTTGACGACACTGGACACAGATGTAAACAGTTTTGTTTCGCAGACTGTGACGTCAGTCAAGACGCCATGACACTAGTCAGCGTTTTCAAGGGTTCTTTTTTTTAATACAAAATACGTAATGTAAATATTTCTTTTTCTTTAAAATATAGGTTTTTTAGGATAAAATAGATATTAAAGTATATAATTAACCAAGTTTTCAAATTGAGTCAACATGTTTCATGAGCTCATGTTTTGAAATATTTAGTATTTCAAAACATGAGCTCATGAAACATAAATTTAAATATTGTACTGCTTGAACGAATGCCAACGTCAATAATATTAAAATCTAAATAAAATTAAATACAGACACGGGATAGGGATACGATTTTAGGCGAAAGTCAATCATGGGTAGCGTGGCCGAGCGGTCTAAGGCGCTGGTTTAAGGCACCAGTCTCTTCGGAGGCGTGGGTTCGAATCCCACCGCTGCCATAACGTTTTTTTTAAAGTTTAAAGGTACACATTTGTCCAACTCGGTAGGTATATTTTTGTATTGTTGGTGACATAAAGACTGCCAGTGTATGACATAGCATATTATGATGTAAGGCATTATTTATGTTTTTCTATTAGTGTTTCGTTAAAGGCTTTTATTTATTAAAGGCGTTATTAGCCTAAAGCGTCAGGTGTACCTCGTCCCTTAAACCGCACTTTGCCGCCTGTTGAACAAGGTAACCCCGCTATGAAGTACGCAGGGTCATGCCCCCTCGGTTTAGAGAGGTGGGCGCGGAAAACGTCGCAGCGCCATCTTTAGGCAATAACTCCTGTATGTCCAGAAGGTCCCCGTTGGCAATCTTTACACGGTACTTGACCTTTAAGTCAAATCAGTTACTCTGTTACGTCAAAACGTCAAATCAATTATTGTTAAGTTAACATTAAAATAATAATATACTTGAAAATAATACGAATTATATTATTTAGTTTTATTAATTTATCTATACTTCCTTCAAACATATTATTGGGAAGAGTTTGAATGTTGCTTCAGACAACTAAGGTCGATGATATACTACTAGAGTCCAAAACTGTTGTCATAAAGAAGGAAGAGTATTCTTGATCATCGTATTAGAAACTTAGTGTTCAACATGCATCCGTAATTAACGTCACAGGAATTGCCTTGTTTTTTATGACACCCCTCGTTCTTGTCACAGAGATTCTCCAAGTGTGTCATGACATATTTAGCAATTTTATGTCTAGAAATTATTAAATTAAAACGGCCGTTGCGCAATTAGTTTTGCATTTAAATTTTTTTTTAGTAAATAAAACATTTGAAAAAATAAACAAAAATGACGAATTATATTACTGTAAAAAATTCAAAGTTATTTTTTTTCATAATCTACATTTTATAAATATGTAATAAAATTTAATTTAATTCACACTTGCATTTGTAGGAGTGTTTAATTGTCTAATAAATGCTACTACAGATCGGCTGTCAATATAACTTGACCGGTAAATTGCTTACACTTTTGTACCGTGACAGGTCAAAATATACTGGACAGTTTTGTGTTGTTTTTGTACCACATCGTTTAAGTGCACTTCTAACATAAATTATTAAAGTATTCCAAACTCAAATAGTTCTGCACCGCTTGAGCTCAAATTTTGACACAAAATACAAAACGCTTCATAGATTGTGTAGGGGTATTTTCCCTAACATTACTGATAGATTGCTGGTTTGATAAATGAGTAGACAACTTTACCGAATGATGATTTTATTGCTACTAAATTATGTACAAAAGTTATGTATGTAAAGTAAGTGCCTATTTAATACGAGTGCAATACAAATGAGTGAACGCAAGCTCATTTCGTAAACTACTACAAATGTGCGGGTTTGCTCGTACAGATTGTTTTTATCTACTTTTTGCGTCGGTTTTGTTCTTCATTTATCATAAACCAATGCAACCACAGTCAGGGTCACTCACCAATACGCACACAAGCCCGTCAACTAAAATAATAATAATAATAATATACCTCACACATTTCACACACGGCTGTCTGATCCCAAACTAGGCAGAGCCTGTGCTATGGTGACCAGACTGCTGATAAACATACTTATATATTTTTAAATACATACATATTATAGATGAATTACACCCAGACACAGAACAAATAATCATGTTCATCACACAATATTTGTCCTGGGTGGGAATCGAACCCACGACCTTCGGCTTAGCAGTCAGGGTCACTAACCACTCGACCAACAGGCCCGTCACTATTGTGATAAATATTAAAATAACCAACTTCCATTTATGTTATCAAAGCGTGATTTTCCTCTCGGCAGATTGCAAACCTAAAGCGTCATCTAAGCCCATGTCTCATTCACATCAAATTTCAACAGCCTTCTAATAGTCCACTGCTGGACATAGGCCTCTCCTTAGAAAGGAGGTTTTGGCCATACCACGCTGGCCAGACGGGTTGGTATAGGGTTTATTTCAAGTTTTCCTTCTCTCTGCAGTGCTGTTGTCCTGCGTAGTTTGCTCTCTTAGTCGGCTCTTACGACACCTCCGGGATAGATAAGGGTAGTGACACTCAGTATTTTTAATCCGTCACCACCCTTTTACAATACTATGAAAAAACTAGCATTTTCAATTTCCTAAATTTTCAGGTATCTTCACGATTTATTGCTATCAATTGTATTTGTAGGTATAGTATTTTGGTATTGTTTTGCAAGTAAGGATGCCAAATGCTTAAGAGATTGGCAGCGCGCCAATTGTAACGCTTTTTTGTTTATTCTGTATATATCTTACTATTAGTCACGCCTTGTTCTTATTTGCCACCTACGTACCTTAAAAATTAAGGTTCTAAATTAGAAATCTTAAAAAAACAAAAACTCCGATAATTGGGCGTAGGTTAACATTGATTTCCAATGTTTGTTTAGAGACTGTCACAAGTTTTTTTAAGACATAAGGGGCAAACGATCAGACTGAATACCTGAAGGTAAGTGACTACCACCACCCATAAACACCCACAAGTCAAAGGTTCAAATATGTGGACTCCAAGGCCAGCATTGTACTTGTGACTTTTGAGTTGTAGGTAACCATGGACGGCGGTAGTTGCTTACCATCAGGTGACCCCTCTGCTCGTTTGCCCTCTGATACCATAAAAAAAAAAATTACACTAAATGGGAATTGATTAGTATTTGTTTCATGAGTGTTCATGTTTTGAACTATTAAAGTGTAAATTTAAATATTGTACTGCTTGAACGAATGCCAATGTTAATAATATTAGAATCTTATTGAAATTAAATAAAGACACGGGATAGGGATGCAATTTTAGGCGACAGGTAATCATGGGTAGCGTGGCCGAGCGGTCTAAGGCGCTGGTTTAAGGCACCAGTCTCTTCGGAGGCGTGGGTTCGAATCCCACCGCTGCCATAATATTCTTTTTGTTCAAAATACAGCCCTTTTACCTATGAATTTAAGTTTTAATATATTTAAAGGCTGATTTGATAAAATAATATTAATGAAATTATTAGCGTTGTGACGATAAATTTCAACTTTTTTTTTGCAAAATAATGTAGGCATACATCGGTGATACTTTTTTATCGTTAATTTTTAGTGTGTTATTATTGCAGTTACCGCACAATCCTCGACAGCTGGCAGCTGTGGTGGGCGCGGTGTGCCCTCGACACGTGGGTGTGCGCGGCCGAAGGGAGCGGGGAGTGGGGCTCCGGGGGCGGCGTGCCGCGACACGTGTGTGTAGCCTGCACCTACTGCGGCAAGTCGGTGGCGGCCCCTCCAGGACACAACAGACCGAGGGTCGCGTTCGCCAGGTTACCCCCACCGGCTGCTAAGATGAAGGTAACAATATTTTTCTTGTTTTTTATTTAATAATGTAGTCTGAAGGGAAACTTAGTTTTTTATTGTGTTCTTAGGTAATTTATTAAAATTATGTTAAAACATGTTTTATTAATTAACCTTGAAGTCAAGTTCATAAAAGTTGTTTTTCCCAAAGCTACTGTAATTATATTTGAAAATGTATTTAATGAAAATAATACAAGATATGATGTGATATGTGATTGGCGCAGCAAATCTCGTCATGTCCGCACTGCCGCAAGCCGCTGGCCCGCTGCGGCGTGTGCTCGCTGCACCTGGGCACGGGCGCGGGGGGGGCGGGCGGTGCGGGCGGGGCGGGTGCGGGGGGGGCGCAGTTCGCGGGCTGGTTCAGCTGGTGCGTGGCCTGCCGCCACGGGGGACACGCCATGCATCTCATCAACTGGTTCAAGTGAGTCACTACTGTACATACTACACAACTTTTTGATCCTACAAAGCTGATATCGAAACAGCATCGAGCCTTTCAAATTACACTGGATTGACTAAAAACAAAAAAACATATGGAACCAAATTGCATCTAAATCGGTTGAGCGGTTTAAGCATGAGAGGCAACAGACAGACAGACAGACAGACAGAAACACTTTCACTACTTGATCATAATGATACTACAACACAATAGAAAAGCAATTTCTGTTGTGCAGTGGTAGCGATGCGACTGCTGTGCTGAAGTCTCGGGTTCGATTCTCTGGTCGGACCAAATGTTTGTATAATCTGATAATGTTTGTTTCGGAGTTTAGGTGTTTTCTATGTATAATATGTATGTATTTACTAAAAGTAAATAAATATTCTATCAGTCAATAATATTATTATTAATTAGTGGAGTGAGGTCACCAGAGGTCCAGCCCCACAGGTTCATTCTGGTGGAGGCACTCAGAGGCAGATAAAACACTAATGAATCATGAGAAGTGTCTGCAGTTGCTTATCATCAGGTGACTCGACTGCTCATTCGCCCCCTATTCCACACAAAGAACATATCGGGCAATTTGAATGCCGCTTATATTATAAAATGAAGAAAGCCAATACTACGACAAACGATATTTAACAATTATAAGCAAAATCTTATTCCGTTTTTTAATAAATATCTCTCAGAACACAAGTATCTCACCGATAAAAAGTTATTTTAATGATACTCAAAAATTCAAAACTTTATCTCCCTGTAATAGCTGGAGACTTAATGAATCTAGTTTTACTAAACTCAATATAAATATGTTTTCCAGGGAACACGTAGAATGTCCAGTGAGCTCGTGCAACTGTCACTGCGCCGCCCTGGACCCGCCGGACAGGCGCTAACCTTGGGACACTCAGCTTTAGCCAGGCTTGCCGCTTTACTCACTTGTGTACATTATTGAAGGCAAGTTCGAACAGGACAAGACCTCAAAACCTGTGCAGCTGCCACTTCAGCAGGTCGAGTGTCATTTGTAATGTATGTAGTAAATGACAGCATTTGTTGAACTGTACTATTTTGTCAGTAAATATTAAGTGCAGTTTCAGTAGAAAAAATAAGTTATATATAATAGTTTGGAAACCAGGGCCTCAATTCTGCTATTACGCCAAGCCAGTGTCATACCACTGACACGCTATTGAGATGCCATCGAGTAGCCATTGGCATCGGTATACTCGTAAGTATCGGTAGTTGAAAATATATTACGTTTTTTGAGGAAATGATTTATTTATTTTTATTATAATAAATTATTAAAAGAAATAAATTAATTAAAGTAACTTATTAAAAAAAATATTTTCCTCTTTTCCTATTCGACTAACTATGTAAGACCAATGACTAGTCACTGAACTGCCACTGTTACAAATGTCGTCGATTTATTTGTAATAGTCAGGTAAACGGTAAATTTTAAATTTGTAACAAATTATATTTTTAATTTTACAGGTATAGCAATGTTGTTGATATCACCATTGATGATCTATAATACTATATCGACGGTCTATTGTCACTGTGAATTCATGTTAGTAGAATACTGATATTTTGTCCGATGTCAATGGCGTCTCAATGGCATCTGAATAGCGTGTCAATGGAATGACGGTGGCTTAACGTTATAATAAAATAGCAGAATTGAGGCCCAAGTATATGAGTCAGAAAAATCTTGACTAGTTTCGACACAAACAGGGACATTACTGAGTAAATCATTTCATATCTACGTTTTTGTACAGCGTGTGGTATTAAGGAGCCACACTGTCAAGATTTCTTTAAATGTAAAATGGTTAATACCTACAACGCTTGCTTGAAAGCTGTTTAGAAAACTCAAATAAATAATCTCATCAATCTCTTATCAATAAATATTTTACGAGTTTTGTGACAATAATTTCAATACATAAATAAAATAATATAAAATAATTAAACAATAAAATATAATTTAAATAATGCTTAGCGCATTACTTAATTTATATTTTGTTTCACCATCTCACCTGTTCCACTGATCTGATGTCTTGACTTTAATTGAATGAGCTTTTTAAGTATGTTTTACTATATTTACTACATTAATATATAAATAAAAAATATATTAGAATCGGTATTTAATATAAAAAAGATCATTTATGTTTATCAACTATAAAGATGGCTATTTTCTTCGTACGTTGTAGGTACGCAGTTTGCCAAACAAAATAAAAATAATTACAACGAAACATATATTGTATGTATTGCAAAGACTATAATTTTGAGTTGTGTGGTGACGGAGTTAGAATACGGAGTGTCACCACCCCTATTAATCCCATAGGTGTCGTAAGAGCCGACTAAGGGAGCAAACTACGCCTGACAACAGCACTACAAAGAGAAGGAAAAATTGACACAAACCTTATACCAACCCGTCTGGCCAGCGTGGTATAATAGGCCAAAACCTCCTTTCAAAAGAGAGGCCTATGTCCAGAAGTGGACAAATAAAGGCTGTTGACGATGATAAGATATCTATCTCTCTATCAGATATGTCTATCTATTAGATATTAATTATTTTAAAAGATATATTTTAAAGTTCTATTGTGATATTTTTAGGCAAAAACTCTGTAAATTTAAACTAAGTTATGTCCTGTATCTGGTTTTTGCTGACGTCAATAGCTCAATGCAATTGAGTTTTGCATAACGAGTGTTGATTTTAACAGAGATACATTGATTACAGCCGAGATATTTCACTGCATGTGTTCAGCCTTTACCTATATAGTAACGATCAATTTTATTAAAACTAATAAAGAAATATTAATTAATGTTCTACAAGGTTGGTTTATATTGTTGTACTAGCTGACCCGCGCAACTTCGTCTGCGTCTCTCAATAGTAATAAATTTTCTCCGTTTTTTAAACATTCTTCATTGGTGCTCCGCTCCTATTGGTCTTAGCGTGATGATATATAGGCTATAGCCTTCCTCGATAAATGGGCTATCTAACACTGAAAGAGTTTTTCAAATCGGACCAGTAGTTCCTGAGATTAGCGCGTTCAAACAAACAAACAAACTCTTCAGCTTTATAATATTAGTATAGATAAATGTTTACATTGCTGTATAAATACTGTTGTTCGATATTTCAAATTTGAATGTTCCTACACAAGATGGGGAGCGACAGAGTGTATATGAATGCCACTACCCCAATAAACTCATTTGTAAAAGAAACAAGGAGCTGCCAAAGGCTGTTTTTGAATTTTTTGTCGATTTGATGGTTTAAGCATTCTTCTTTTTTATGCTTAATGCTTGTTTATTTATATCCTTAAAATGTATATGTATTTTGGACTGATGTTTCTGTCGCACTGTATTCGGGAGTTTCTTGTACCAAAATTTAATATATTGGCACTTAGGGTGCTTCTACATACGTCGGGGCACTAGGGATTTCCTTTCTAGGGTACACCTGGTTCCCCGACTAATGGTGCCTGAGACGACGGGCGGTTTTAGTCGCTTCAAGTCCGACATTGCCACCGGTAAGTGGTATCCGAGGGGATTTTCGCACAGAAAAAAAGGGTGCTTGTACATGATGCATGTTGAGACACTTGCGGGTCCAGAGACTCGAACATGTAACCCGCACGAGCAGCATACACATTATACCAACCAAACGTCAAATCACCCGCGTCTTTGCCCGTTCCAGCTACTTACACCGTTTTAGAAGCACCCTTAGAACAGGACTGGAGTGGTACCATGACCCCACAGAAAACCGCTGTTAAGATTTAGTTGCGTTTAACCGAGTGAAGGAGGTTACTGAAGGCCAAACCCTACCTCCCCTGATTCTAGGTGGAGGGACTGAAAGGGTGGCACCGCACTTATGACTCATGAGTTGCAGGTGACCATGGGCGGCGGTAATCACTTACCATCAGGTGACTCGCCTGCTTGTTTTCCCCCTTATGCCATAAAAAACACAGACCTACAAAATTTCATAACTAACGCGAGCGAATACGCGTGCGAAAGCTAGTCTATAATCCATAAACTTACCAACAATTTTAAAATTTGTTCAACAATGTTATGATCGATATTTCTTCCTTAATATATTATTAAATGCCTTCAAAAAATTGTATTCAGAACAAAATATTATAAGTTGTGTGCAAGTGATTTGCAATCTTGTGTTCATATAGGCTAAGTATATATTATCTGTTAGTAGTAAAAGTAAAGCTAAGCGTACACGGGCAAATATTTTTGTATCTGGTTTGTAAGCGATGGGTTATTTTTATTTACATATGTAATCATTAATTATTGTATCCGTATAATTATTGTTTTATTGTCTTGCATGCAAACCTATGCATAGAGGCTGCATTGGTCCAGCCCTCGATGTTAAAAAAATTTAGTTAGAAAAATTGTTAGGTGGTCAATATTATAACACTACCCGTGTTATAATATTGACCACCTAACAATTTTTAATGCGAATCATCAGGACTTTGGATTCGAATTAAATTGTGTCCGTGTCCGTGTAGGAGCCATTCTTCAAATCGTAATGAAATTAATATATTATTTAGTGGTAAATTAAAAAAAATGTAGCAGCGATCCTCGATTTTGTAGTAAAATACTTTTCAACTTATATGAACATAAAGGTGGCTCCGCAATTAAAATGATTAGATTGAGAAGCCACTTTTACATTGATGTAACTTTGGATTTTGAAATTTCAGGATTTGTCCTTCAAAATTATTTCCTCACCTACTAAATAAGGGGGGTTCCGTTTAAAATCTGAAATGGCTCCTCAATCCAAACGGACATTATTAAATTAAGTAGGTCTCAATGTTACATTAAGGAAAGGAAAGGTGCCTACAAAAATTAATTGTCTAGTAGAATGTTGCTTTTTGCCTCTCTAGCCACCTGACGCCTAGAACAATGCGCCCTATCCAAGAGTCGGTGCTGTACAGATGCCTCCTCATCACAAGTCTATCTTGGAAATTGAAACATTGATTCTGTCTCCTCAAGGATTCCCCCCCCCCCTGCCTCCTGGTGAGCTTAACGCTGGGTACGATACGAGTAGCTAGTCACGCTCTAATAGTGTCAAAAGATTGATGTGAAAGATCTAATGCGCATGGTCCGACCGGCTTTTGGAACATAGCGTGGCGACGCAGTCAGTGGCGACGCGTCGCCACGCTATGTGATAGTATATGTAACATGTAACGCGGTGTAACATTCTATCAGCTACCTTTTATACTTATTACTTTTTCAAAATAATTTCGATGTTTCACATTTATCAGACGTCCCGTTACGTTATTTTTTAGAAATAAACACATTTTAGTTTTAAATCACACATCCTACCCTAAGAGCTGTTAAGGGAACATTACAACAACAGAACAGGCGAAGTGAGGGCGACAGTAATCGCTTCGTCGCAGTTTAATCACCTTGTAGTTTCTAAGCTCGCATACCTGACTCAATAGTGTTATTTATCTAATAATTTTTTTCTTATATATTCATTTATGCGTTTTAGTACAACTTAATGAAACCCCGGGCAATGTATAAGCTTGTCCTAACCGGATGGCGTAGTGGTGGTGTAACGGACTGTTAATCCAAAGGTCGCGGGTTCAATTCCCGCTCAATTAAACATTTGTGTGCATGAACATTTTATGTTCGATTTAGTCTGGGTGTATCTATGTATAGTATGTATTTATAAAAAAATAAAAGTATATATGTATTTATATCAGGGCATAAAAAAATTATTAAAATAAATAAATCATTTCCTCAAAAAACGTAGATAATATATTTTCAAATTATAAGGAAATTATTTATTTATTTTAATATTTTTTTTATTTCTTTTTTTTTATAATTTTACGTTTTTAATAATTTATTTTAATTTACTTATTTATTTTAATAATTTCCTATAATAAAAACAAATAAATCATTTCCTCAATAAACGTAATATTATTATTATTATTATTATTTTCAACTACCGATATTTACGAGTATACCGATGCCAATGGCTACTCGATGGCATCTCAATAGCGTGTCAGTGGTATGACACTGGCTTGGCGTAAACATAAAATAGCAGAATTGAGGCCCAGTTGTCTAGTACCCATAGCAGAAGCTCTGCTTAGTTTGGGACTAGATGGGGTTGAGTTAATGTGGTAGAATATTATTATTATTATATTACTGAAGGGTATACGTTATCCCGTGACATGACCGGATTTCTTCATAGTTCATACGTCACTTCTACCGTCCAACATGACGCCAGAAGCCAAGCGTTCAACATATATTACATGACAGTTTAAATGCAATAAGTAAATACTATTTTGCAGTGTTAAGCAGCACGAAATAAAAACTAAGATAACTAAAAAAAAAAAAATAGTAAATGTATGTAAAATAATAATAGTTTAGTAAATTTCCGAATAAAGGAATCTATTTGAAAGCTCAGCTCATAACTATAACAATTTAAACAACATATGGTATACGTCCACACAATGGGAAAACAGATTAGAATATCATGTATCTTCTGTCTGCACTTTTTTTAATTTTCTTATTTTATACGGTAATTTGAAACTTTGGTAAGGGTTTTGGCTGGTTTCTTCGATAGCCGCCTGAGGCTAACCCGCCTTGGAAAAGGCAGACGAAAATTAAGGATAAGGTAATGTCTCAGATGGAGAAACGTGACTCAAAGGGTGTCCACGTACCATCGTACCACGGATATGTATCGTCTACTCTTCGCTACGGTGTTATACTGTGGGGTAACTCCACCAATGCGGACTGTGTGTTCAGAGCACAAAAACGGTGTATTAGAGCTATTTCCTGTCTTAAGCAAACAGATTCATGTAAACCTTTATTTAGAAAGCTAAATATTCTAACTTTACCTTGTTTATATGTATACGAAACAGCTATATTTATTAAGTGTAATTTACATTTATTTGAACACCGTACAAGGCAACGTCATATTAACAAATTATGCATTAGACCATCTAAAACTGCACTACTTCATAAAAGTATATTCTGCATGGGCCCAAAAATATATAAGAAGATACCATCAGATTTGAAAAATGAAAAGAACTTAATTTTATTTAAGAAAAAGTTACATGCTATTCTAGTTGGTAAAACTTATTATTCGGTAAAAGAATACATGGAAGATAATATGTAGAATGATGTAAATAATGCACTACTTACATCTTCCTTTGACATACATCAGTACAGAAATTTTGACGTATTAATTTGACATATTATAGTTTGTATTTATTATTATTTGTTTATTATGTATTATTTAACTTAAGAACTGTATTATTATTTAGAAAATGACAGTATTGGATATTATTTTGTTATAATCAATAATTATTGTTAATTTTTGCATGCTGTGACATTCGGCTTAATATGGTGAAACTAGCTGTATCTTTTCCACCTGTTTTTTTCTTTTTGTATAACCCATATTATCGCAAATAAATTGAATTGAATTGAATTGAATTGAATTGAATTGAATTGAATTGTCGTGTGCCCGTGTGACCGCCTTGGGAGTTGGGAAAGTCGCTAAGATAGCGACACCAACAGTGTTGGATTAAATTTTTTGATATGTTTTAGTGAAAAATAGTTTCATATTGACCTCATTTCGACGTCTAGGGAGTTCTTTTGGTACATGAATAAATAAAAATTGGTTTATATTTCCAAATATATATATAATATATATACATTTATTAAATAATCATATCATCTTTATTCCAATTTAACAATAAAATTCTCAAAGACACAACATTTGTTTAAATCTGTTTATCGTACAAGGATCCCATCCTATAGGTACGTTGTATACACACAGACAGCCGTCATACAAAAATATTTATATAATAGAGGCGCGGGCGGGCGTCGAACCCGCACTCGCGCCGAGACAAGTCGTCGGCTACCCAACAAGTTCGCTCTCCGGCGAGTTCATCACATTCGGCTAGTTAAATATAAGATTCTCATATAAACAATAATATCTGACTGCGTAGAACTACATTCATATAACTCTGGGACGACGCGCGTCCTTCGGGAAGAGTAGAATATTAAAATCAACATTGATACACAACATCTCGTCTCCGTGCGGAGGAAACATACAAATATACGTCGTCGATAGTCGCAGTAGACATCTTTAAAAATTCTAATTCGTTTCATATTCAATTATCACACGTTACAAAAAGGGGGACGAGTCGTCCGAAAGTTACCTCGTAACATACAACGTAGTACCGAGGGCGCCCCGCCACGCGGCTCGGACGGGACGCGCCTACAAATATTTTATATTCATCATAAAAATTTAATTTACAACAATAGATTTCCACATTTTCCATTATATACACATCGAATAAATACTGTAACATCAGAATTTGAAACAATCTTTGGTATAGTAGAAAGTATCGGGCGCGGGGAAGTTGAAGGTCACGGTCGAGCCGCTACTTCTACGAGATTGTTCGTGACGACACTACAACACAACAATAATATATCAATATGTACACATCACCTCCGACTACACCGTTTAAAGCTTTTAAAGAAGATAGTCCCGAGCGGCGGCGCTCGGCCGCTCGCACAGATTCGAGAACTGCGCGCGCGTGCACGGGCACGAGCACTGGGCGTGCACGGGCACGTGCATTGGGCGTGCACTCGGCGGGCACGGCCACGTGCACGGCGCGCCGGCTCACTACAGGCCCGCGCCGGCGGGGGAATGTCGAAGTGTTAAGGGCGAGCCGGGGCTCACTTGCCCTCGTCCTGCTCCATGGGCTCCTCCGACGCCGAGCGCGAGCTCTCCGCCGATCTGCGGCGAAAGATTGCATCGTTAAAACGGGGCTACCGTTCGAAAGCGCTAGGAAGGCAGCGGAGTAGAGCACTGACCTTAGCTCGTGCGGGGCGGCGGCGGGGAGGGCGGGGTCGGGCGGCGGGTGGTGCATGGACAGCGTGGCCATGGCGGCGGCGGTGTCGGCGGCGTCTCGCTCGGTCTGCAGCCGCCCCAGGCGCGCCGCCGCCACGCCGGGGGCCGCCTCCAGCGCGGACATGCTCACCAGCGGGCTGAAGCGTTTCAGCTGCAATACCAACTCAGATTAGTGACGATCGTTTCAAGTTTTACCCAGACTTCGATGCTAAATAAAACTCAAAAGTTAATAAATTACACGATATAACTCGATCAAAAGACATTAAACGTACGTCACATTAAGTTACTTTTTAAAATGAAAACTTTAGGCGCGTTGAGCAATTTTTGAACGATCGAAGTTACCGACACCTCTGTATAAGTATATAAGTTTTCACTTCGGTCGGCTCTCCCGGAGTGCCACTGGTTTTTGAAATGTCGAAAGTCAAAGCTGTATACGTACATATATACACGGACATTTTCTTTTATAATTAATATATCATATTAGTATAGTATACGAAAGTATTTGCAAAATGTTAACGGTTCGGTTTGGATAAGATATCGAGATGTCGATGTACGTTTCGTATGAGTGCAAGGTCCATAGGCTCGAAGGACCACTATGTGCGGGATATAAAGTCATAACGGTATCGAATCATCGGAAGCGTAGTATCGGAAGCAGTGAGGGGAGCTCACCGAGGGCCAGTGGTGCTGGTGCACGGCGATGGTGGTGCGCAGCGCGTCCTGCGCGGCGCGGTGGGGGGGGCGCGCCAGCTCGGCCAGCGCCAGCGGAGCGCCGCGCTCGCCCAGCAGCGCGCGCACGCACTCCTGCGCGCAGTCGCACACGGCGGGCAGGTCGTAGCCGCCCTCCAGCGCCAGCACCACGCGGCCGCCCGCCAGCTGGGCCAGCTCGCGCGTCATGTGCGCGAAGCACGCCGCCGACACGCTGTAGCCGCCCAGCGGCGCGGGGTGGCCCGCCGCCGCGTCGAACCCGCACGACACCAGCACGATCTCCGGGTCGTACTCCTTGGCGATGGGCATGACGACGGAGCGGAACGCCGCGAGGTACTCGGCGTCGGCGAGCGGCGGGTTGGTCCCGGAGCACCAGGCCACGTTCACGGTGTAGCCCAGCCCCGCTCCCGCGCCGCACTCGGTGGCCGCGCCGGTGCCGGGGAAGAAGTTGCCCTCGTCGTGCCGGTGGATGCTCATGTACAGCACTTGCGACTCCTCGTAGAAGATCTGTTGCGTGCCGTTACCGTGATGCACGTCCTACATAAAAAGTATATTTATTACATTTTGTACGGTGACAACACAGCCGGTGTCGCAGTAGAGATTCTGTATGTTAAAAAATGATGGGTTTTATCTGAACGCATAAAATAAATGTCTGTTGTAGTTAAAGCAAAACCCATTTATTTATCTTACAAGTTTGACTAATCAGCGATTTTATATTTAGTCCTGCTATCGATATTGCACACGGGTGGAATATTTTTTATATTTTATAAAGTTTAGAGTCATCAAATTATTAATGATCTCGTACACATTTAATGCGGAGAATGAGATTGGCCGTTGGAGTGACGACGCGTCGGAGTGACGACGCGTCACCACGGCATGCGCTGCCAAGCCATTTGATATGATACTATTTGATATGCATGTAACGCAGTGTGCCGTCGTGTCGTTATGTTTCGTTTAATATGTCATGTTTATTTTATTTTCATATGCAAATCTTTTCTATTCATTAATAATAATAAATATTTATTTTCAGACATATGCAGTCCATAGGTTGTTTAGTGATTTATACAATATAACTTTGATGTTTCACATCTGCCCGACATGCCGCGATGGCTCAGTTTTGAAATCTTTATAGGTAATGCATTTTTTTTCATATTAAAAATATAATCTGATGTTTTACTTATGAAAGTTTATTTTACATATTTTTTTTATCTTAGTCACCGTTCAAAAAAAAATTAAGTTATAATTTAAAAATAATATTAAGAACTTAAAATTTCTGCAGGTAAATTATAATATTTACCCAGTCAACGATGAGTATCCTCTGCAGCCTGTGCCTGGTGTTAAGGATGCGCGCCGCTATCGCCACCGAGTTGAAGAAGCAGAAGCCCATCGCCTGGTTGGGCTCCGCGTGGTGGCCCGGCGGGCGGACTACCGCGAAACTGTACACCGGAAACTCACAATCAATCGACGAATCGGTCATCATAAAACATTATTAGGTATTCAAAAAAGTACTAAATATTTATAAAAGCAACGGTAAAAAGTATAACAAGGTGCGTGCGTGCGCGTACCCGTTGCGCAGGTCCCCGCGCGCGGTGCGCACGGCCAGGTCGAGCACGGCGCCGGCGGCCACGCGCGCGGCGGGCGCGGTGTGCGCCTCGGACCAGGCCGTGTCCGAGTCCACACCCAGGCCGCCGCACGCCAGCCGCACGAGCTGGCGCACGGAGCCCGCGCCGCCCGCCGCGCCGTCGCGCGAGCGCCCGCCGAACAGCGTCACGTGCGCCTCCGTGTGGACAGACTGCCGGGGAAACGTCACGTCATCTTAAACCTTGTGTACGCGCTCCCGATGCACACTTTCACTACATAACTTCCATCTTTCTCAAAATATACATTTACACACTTAATTTTGTTTCAAGTGAAGACCGCTTTAGACGCTTTGGGCATTTTTGAACGACAAACAAACAAAACATTGATATACGTACAACTTAAATATACCTACATATATTCATGTCGGAACTTTACAAATCGAAAAAAAAACCTGTTACAAGCAAAAAATTTAAATTATCAAGTTTTCACTTCAGTTGGCACTCTCGGAGCGGCACATTTTTTTTTATCTAATGTACGTTTATCTCTTTTTTAAATTTTACTTCGCATCTACCGCATCATAAATCTACATCACCTAAAGATCGATTAGGAGAGAATACCTCAGAGCATTAAATCCGCCTTTAACCAACATATTCATTAATTAAAATAACGATAACAAAAAGTATATATACTAGTATTTAAATATGCTTAACGTATCATAATTAATTATAATTTACAAATATTTATATATTAATGAGATAATTTTAATGATAATTAAACAATAAACCGGATATTCTCTATAAGCCCTACATTATTAGTTTTGTTTTATCACAACTATGTATGTCACCTTAATAACAGCGACCCCAATAATTTTCTTATTCATCATAATTAACGGCCTGTAACAGTCCACTGCTGGACGTAGGCCTGTCCTTAGAAAGGAGGGTTTGGCCTACTATACCACGCTGCCCAGGCGGGTTGGTATAGGGTTTGTTTCAAGTTTACCTTCTCTCTCTTATTATTACGTTGATATTATAATTTCCGTAATATTTTTACGAGTCAGCTAAATATCTGCTTCAATGTATGTATTGATATTAGCTCACACACGATTAATATTAGTTTATAAATACTAACACAATTTACTAACAAAGGAGAGTAGTAAAATAGTATCTGAACACGCAACAATAGATTCACTACATTGGTGACACCGACGTGACGACGAGTGACCTTCACTACATTGGTGACCCCGACGTGACGACAAGTGACCTTCACTTCATTCTCTATAAAAAAATCGGTATCCTCGTATTACTTCGCTATCGTACATACAAATAGTTTTTACTTTTTAACATAAAAAAAAAACTTCTTGCGCTATAATAATAAGTTACTTAATTTCAATAATAAACTAAATTAACGTTTAACTATCTTTTCCTGCGTACTCAACTGTTACAAAACGACTATCCTACCAGTGTGCAAGCTAACTAGTCTTTACATTTCATGGTCTTTCGAGCCGGTTCACTCTGTTACTGTCAAATACGTGACAGATTTACATTTAAAGTTCTTTGAGATTACGAGGGTATTTAGCAACTTGTATCTTTGTTGGCGGTAGCGAAAAGACTCAACTGCTCTTCCACAGTAGGTCTCACCAGTTCAAATGAGATAACTACGCATATAGCGATTAAGTACGAGAAACTAAATATCTCGAGACCAGTTTGAACTCGCTCGAATCTAAAATTTTACTGTGAAACTGTGCAATGTTCAGGTCGCAAACTGGCGTTGCTCTACGCTTCTGTCAGTTTAAGTACTTTTTGGCGTATGTATATTTTTTAAATTAGTTAATGCAAACTGCAAATTTGAAAAATCGCCATTTCGAAATACCCGAGCGTGGTAGATTTTATACAGACGGTTCATCTTGATGTTTCTCTCATACTAGCCAAAAATCTGACTATAACATTGCAGGGTATTTTAAATTGAACGGTTTGAAATATTTTGATTTTTTATAGTGTGACAAATAAAGACACGAAAAATTATGTAGACACATAAAGAAGGCCTTTCAGTTTGCTTCAAAATAAAAAAAAAAGTCAAGGTCTTATGTTTTTTTTTTTTTGGAGCTTTGTGACCCTCTCACTGCTTTATGTCACGCTCAAATCGTCAGATTTTTTTAATACATATTAATATGTATGTAATTGACTCAACTTACATGTTAATCTTACACGCCCGAGGATTTCAGGTCATCGATTGTTTATTAAGTTGATGGACTGTGCCTGTGTTCACGTTTGAGGGGGTACTCTACTGGGTTTAAGGTATTCCTCGTTATGTTAATATGCCACGTTCGAGTAAATCCCTTCTGGGGTTCCCCTACTAGAGTATTTAGAACGTACAACTTGAACATACGGTACCTGTAATTCCTCGAAGGTAGCTTTCCTGGGTCGCGTCCGCTCGGCCCGCGCCGCCAGCCCCGTCTCGCACAGGCGAGCCCACACGGACTGAAGCCGCCCGCCGTGCTCCGGGTGCGTGGGAGCGTGGGCGCCGCACGCGCACCTGCCAACACGCGCACGGTCACACACGAGCTCTGCTGCAGGGGGCGTCGCGCAGAGCGGCGGCACTTACCCGTGCTTGAGCATGAGGGGGTCGTAGGCCAGGCCGGTGGGCGGGGCGCGCGCGCCCACCAGCGGCGAGGACAGCGCGCGGGCCAGCGGCGCCGGCTCGCTGGGCGCGGCGGGCGGGGCGGGCGCCACGGCCGTGTCGCTGGCGCTGGGCTGCGGCCGCCGCGCCGTCAGGTCGATCACCTCGCCCTCCTCCTCGCGCAGCTGCGCCGCGGCCGCGTCGTGCGCGCGCGTCAGCACCTGCACCACGCTACACTTAGTCACCCGCGCACAGACAGACGAGCGCACCGGAGGAGCGGAGCCTCACTGACCGTTTTCCGTATCTGGTCTCTGAGGTAGTGGTGCGCGTTGGGCGGCGCCAGCGCGGGGTCCCCGAGCGGCAGCGGCGCCGAGTGCGTGCGGCCCAGGGGCCGCTTGGCGCCGCGAGCGCCCCACGCGCCCAGCGACTCCGACACCGCGGGGAGCGTCGGGCCCACGCCCACGGGCATCGGAGCGCCCACCTGTGGGATGATTCGTTTGGTTCCTTTTATTTTTCGGGCCCTCGTGGAGCGATAATATAATGATTTAAAATGAGCACGAAACGATGCGAGCTACCGAATGTGAAAAAAACAATGCAGCGTAATTATTTTTTTAAACGTCTCATTATGTATTATGTATGAACGTAGTGTTAATAGAAAAAATATTGTAATTTATTCAGCGAGAAAACATTTTTTAATTCAATTACTTTATTTATCTCACTACAAAAAATCTAATTTGAATTTAATATCACTAAAATAACGGAAGACAGCGAAAAATTAACTAAATTAAAGAAACACATACATAACAAATATATTATATTTAAATAATGTCTAAATATTATTTAAAAATTTCATTCAAATTATATTTAATACTATAGAATATCAATTAAAATGAAATGTTAAAAAATGAAAATGTTGATTATGGTGATGTTTTCGAATGAAGATGATGATGATGATGATTCCAGATGATTAAAATAAAATCAAAAGAAAATTACAGAGATATTGCAGCCCCATACCGGCGTGTGGGAGTGCGGTGGGTGTGGTGGGTGCGGCGGTGGGGCTGGTGGCGCGTGGTGGCGGGGAGGAGCGGCATGGGGCCGGCCCAGACTGATGTTGGGCATCGAGGGGGAGGAGAACAGTAGCTCTGCCGCTCGAGAGCAGCCTTCTTCCTCCTCGCGGATCGGAGCCGTGGTGCCCACGCCCGTGATGCTCCCAGCGCCAGGAGGGGAGCCTCGGGGGGACCCGCCCTCGCAATCTACACCGAAAACATACTTATGAAATTATTGTACGTCGATTTTCTTTTTTGGATGTTATGCAAATTTAAAATTTATTTATTTTTGAAAGTCAAATTAAATTGCTAAACGTAACTCATTTAATATGTATTTTTTATTCAAAATAATAAAGAAAGATAGAATAGTAAGAAAATTTGTAATTTTAACTTAAAAAATATTATGAAACTGAAAATATATTAAGTTATTTTTAAGAGGATGTTAATGGACTATCCGGAACACGAAATCTTGATATATATTTAGGGATTGTCTCACTGATTTATTCATAGTTATGTGAAAAATCAATTTAAATACCCTTTTTTTTTTCAAATCCAACTTCATTGTCTGCTGCTCCAACAATTTACCAACTATACTCAACAATATTCAAATCTAAATAATTTTACTTTTCTTCAAGTGTACTTTTAGATGAACTGTCCGGTACTGTAATATATGTATATATGTATATGTGTAACATACACATTACGTGTGTATACGTGTGTGTGGTGTTAGGGTGCGTACTCACTGCGGTGCTTGACGCGCGTCTTGAGAGGCCTGCGCGCCAGCGGCGAGGCGCGGCGCTCGATGACACGCGCCTTCAGACGCACCTTCAGCATGTTCGGCTCCGACGCTGCGGGTTAGTGCACGCGCATGCTTACTCACACATTCATCCCAAACGGTTAATTTTAATACACGAATCCATGTTGTACATAGCAAGGGTGTAATACTAAGGAAGAAGTAATCTAAAGTATTTATTTTAGCAAAAGAATTAGAGAGACAAGATTCTGACAAAGAATTCTGGCATTGTGAGGCGAGTAATTCTGACAAACGCAAAATGGCAGGATCGCACTCGCTGTTACGCTACGCCCTTGGTACGTAATACACTAGTTCTGATATCTTTTTTTACACACATGCAATTAACGATTCGTAATTAAACCGACATGACTTTTATTTATAAGTTCGCTTAAGTAAATATTCAGCATAGGAATCGAACCTACACTTCTTAGCTCTGTGGCAATTTGTGTTATGACAACTTACGGACGACTGTATCTCTATATATATTTATTTTAATTACAATTATTAACCATCAATATAATAAGCTTTTTAAAATGTTTCTGGATACTAAGAAACAGTTGGAAGTATGTCAAATAGGAGAATTTAGTATTCTCCTATTTGACATACTTCCAACTGTTTCTAGAAAAAACCTGAACAATTAGAAGATTTATAATAACGAATGTTACCAAGTCATAACAAAGTATCAATCATGTGGGCAGCCAAACATTTTGATAATAAAACAGTCCTAGTATTATTATTCTCCCCTAGTATAAGACTCCAGGGAAAATATAATATGCTTTTTATAGTTTTTTTTAACAAAGATTGGTGAATCACTAATATTTTCCGTTTAGACTCAGATTTAAGATGATGAATACTCCTTCCACGGCTAAACATGCTCGTGTTGTTTACAAACAAAGCAAATTATACGTAGTGTTACTGTCGGTCACATTTAAGTACAATAATCACACAAGGGGATGCACTGAACATTCGTTTAGATAGGAAGTGGGACATACCTGTCTTCCTGAGCGGGTAGTCTGCCGGCGAGGGGATGGGGGGCGCGGCGTTGAGCGCCAGCGGCAGTGGCGCCGCCAGGCGGTAAGGGTGCGTCGCGGTCGCGCCTGTCGACGTTATCGACTCGCCTGATGACGACTTCACTATACCCCTGAAGTAGACAAACAGAAAAAAATATGATTTTAATTAAAGTGGCAAACACTTGGTACTTTATTTGCATTCTGTACCTCTCGCGATTATCGAATTGAGCATAAGCTGATTCATTGTGTTCACATCATCATCAACAGCCTTGAATAATCCACTGCTGCACAAAGGCCTCTCCTTAGAAAGGAGGTTTTGGCCTACTATACCACGCTGCCCAGGCGGGTTGGTATAGGGTTTGTGTCAAGTTTTCTTTCTCTTTGCCGCTGTTGTCCTGCGTAGTTTGTCCCCTTAGTCGGCTTTTACGACACCCAGGGGATGAATAGGGGTGGTGACACTCCGTATTCTTAATCCGTCACCACACGGACGCATTCTAATTTACGATTTTTTTTCATATAAGACTTTAGTTTCGTATGTTTGTTACAGTATTGTCATCCAAAGTACAGATACAGAAAGCTACCAATCTATGCAGTCTGGTTACAGACACACATTACAGTTACATTACATTAGTACACACACATTACATTACAGTTACAGTCTATTTGTCCCGTGTGGGGTTTGAACCCACAACACTCGACGTAGTAGTTAGCAGCGTGGCGACCGCTTAAACCACTACGCCATCCGTGCAATCAATATCCTGAATTAGTGTACAATAAAGATTATTCTATTCTATTCTGGTCATCATAGCACAGGCTCTGTCTAGTTTGGGATCATACTGCCGTGCGTGCTTTTCGATAATATAGATGTAAGTTTATTTATGTGTGAATTTGATCTGAACACAAAACTGCATTACTGTTATACCGAATGTTTAATGTTAGAGTGGATGACGTAGATTTATTTTGCAGATTGGAAGTCGATTTTTCCAAGAATGCATCAACAAAAAAAGATCTTTTGTTTATTCCATGGTGGTTTTTATGGTTTTACAGAGCTTTCGATAGCGGTATTGAAAATCTGACTACTATTATAAATGCGAACGCTTGTATGTCTGTTACTCACGTCAGAACGGCTGAACTGATCAGGTTGAAATTTGGACACAGAGAAATATTAGTCTGTCAATGAGTACTTTTAAACTTTTGCGTTCCAGAATCTATAATTTAAATAACAACTTCACGCATCTTACACACGGCTGTCAGATCCCAAACTAGGCAAAGCCTGTACTATAGTAACCTGACTGTTGATAAACACACTTCAATATTTCTAAATACATACATATTATAGATAAAGTACACACAGACACAGAACATATGATCGTGCTCATCACACAATATTTGTCCTGGGTGGGAATCGAACCCACGACTTCCGGCTTGGCAGTCAGAGTAACTAACCACTAGACCAACAGGCACGTCACCCAATATATGAATACGGGGGTTGAAGAATGAAGGGGGGAGAGTCGAAATGTCAGGGAATTCAAAGACATGGTATACGTATGTCATTATCCATAGGTTATTTGTCGAATCGATATTAACGCGAGTGGAATCGTAGGCCAAAGCTAATTTTAAATAATTATATATTCTCATTATAAAGCATAACTCACCAATTTCTGTAGGATGATCCAGGTACTGTTCCATTTGCACTAGCCTGTTTCTTCTTCAGGAATTGTTGCAGTTTCTGTTTGACTTCGGTAGAGGCATTCGCACTATGTTCGTGCTTGTCCTTTTTCCTCAGCAGCTCGACGCGGTCCCTCTCGTGCCTCTCTCTGGCCTCCCGGGCTTCGTGGGCCTCCCTCGCCTCTCTGGCCTCCCGCCGAGCCGCCTCCTCCATTGCTTTTTGCTGCTCCCATAACTGTAAAATTAGTATTCACATTACAAACAGAATTATTTAAGGGTAGGGATTAAACAAAAAGTATTATAATTACAAAAACCAGTATCTATATTATAACATAATAATATTCTACCACATTCACACAACGCCATCTAGTCCCAAACTAAGCAGAGCTTGTACTATGGGTACTAGACAACTGATATAAATACATATATACTTTTTTTTTTGTAAATACATACATATTATACATAGAAACACCCAGACCAAATCAAACATTAAATATGTTCATGCACACAAATGTTTGACTTTATCTTAAATCGAACCCGCGACCTTTGGAGTAGCAGTCCGTTACACAAACCACTACGCCATTCGGTCGTCTATTCTATGAAGATACTTTATTAAAATAGAAAACATTTTTAACAGGCTTGATTTAAAATAGTTATTTTTGAAGCTACGTTTGAGCCTCGTTCTGAAAGTATATGTACCTATGTAACTCTTTATATTATTCCTATCTGTTAGACAAACGAAAACTCTAAATGCGTCCAATGGAGCGTCATTAAATTAAAATCCTAGTTTACATTACACATACGCAAATGTTTAAAAAACTAATTTCAGAATACAAAGCAGGTTACTTTGCTAATTATAAAAATTGGCGTAAAATTTAGATATTTACAATTATAATATATTATAGCCATTAATTTATAACAAAAACCTTTAAAATTTGTGAGGAATATAGAACGTATGCACCAATAACGTGACGACAAAACTGATTTTGTTATGTACGACATCTATTTTGTTTTCCGTACTTTGAATCTTAATTCTAACCATCAACAGCCTTTAACAGTCCACTGCTGGACATAAGCCTCTTCTTAGAAAGGAGGTTTTAGCCTACTATACCATGCTGGCCAGACGGGTTGGTAGAGAGTTTGTGTCAAGTTTTCCTTCTCTCTGCAGTGCTGTTGTCCTGTGTAGTTTTTCCCATAGTCGGCTCTTACAACACCCACGGGATGAATAGGGGTGGTGACACTCTGCATTATTAATCCGTCACCACACGGATGGTTCGTCATCACACAATTTTAATACTAAAGCGGGTTGTATTTTCTTTACAACTAGTATTTAAACCTAAACATTGAAAGAATTATGGCTGCCTAAAACTGTATCCAAAAATACATTTTAGATAAAATTTTATGCGTCAGTGGCGCCAGCAACCGATATAACTCACAATCTACAACGAAATTTTAGAATAGGCACGATTATTATTATACAGGCTACACATTTGCTATCAATATCAGTATATATTAGTAGTAGTAGTAGTGAATATTAGTTCAACTACGCAAATTCGATACGCACTAATTTTATCTTCGCTATAAACATGGTAGGCTGTCTATTTGTCATTGTGTGCTGATAACCGTAGCTGGATCCGATACATATGGATCTTTTTATAGTTTACTGATAAATTCTTTAATTAGGTTTATGTTTACACACTATATATCCGGGCATAAGATAACGCAAAACCTCTAGTTCGAATTACCACAATGTTATATATGTACATTATGTAGTCGAATAAAATGAAACATCATTGCCAATGTTGCCACCTTTTCAATTCCTGCTTCCAGAATCAAGGGGAGGGGGAAAGTTTAAGCTCCGGTAACCTCTGGTGCTTGACAGCGGTTTTCTATGAGGTCTTGGTATCACTTCGGTCGAGCCTGGCCCATATGTGCTGAATGGCTCTCCCACGATTATCATATGGAACTTGCGCAATGTATAACTTTTGCAAGGAGTTATAGTTGCTTTCTTTTATAGCCAGGCACCTGCCGTCACCAATCCCTCTTGGCAATGCAATTGATTTCAGACTGGACACATAAAGATCGTAAATAGGGGTAAGGAAGATGGCTATAAGGACGAAGGAGGGAATGATAAGGATTACCACAAGTCTCAGTATTTTTTATGGCTTAGGGGGGACCATTTTTTACACCATTTATTTTTTAAAGGAGACCGCGCACAAAATATACGTATATATATGTTTAAATCTATACTAATATTATAAAGCTGAAGAGTTTGTTTGTTTATTTGTTTGTTTGTTTGTTTCTCAGGAACTACTGGTCCGATTTGAAAAATTATTTCAGTGTTAGATAGCCCATTTATCGAGGAAGGCTATAGGCTGTATATCATCACGCTGAGACTAATAGGAGCGGAGCACCAATGAAGAATGTTTAAAAAACGGAGAAAATTTATTACTATTGAGAGACGCAGACGAAGTTGCGCGGGTCAGCTAGTTAGACTATACGTGATATGTGTCGGTTAGTATTAATGTTCTATCAATAATAGTGTCTGTTATCAGACCTACAATTGTGTTTTCTAGAACATACAATTACAGCTTCTAACACACACTTATGTAAATTTATAACTTTATAATAATACAAGTTGTGACACTGACTCTGAATCATGCATTCCAGATAGTCATTAAGTACGAATAATGAATGTACAACATACGTACATAAGTAAAGTATATTTTTATTAAATAGTTATAGACTGCAAGCTACCTAAATCATCTATTAATTTTTCATCTATGTTAAAATAGCCTTTTTTTTCCTGTACGAACAGGTCAGGCCATCTGTCACCCCTTTTTTTTTCCGTGCGGAAATCCCCTCGGATACTACCTATCGGTGGCATGTCGGACTCGAACCGACTAAAACCGCACGCCGTCTCGGGTACTAATAACCGGGGAACCAGGTATACCCTAGAAAGGAAGTCCCTGGTGCCCCGACATACCTCGGGCCATCTACAACAAGTAGACGAGCCCCGCCCCCCCCCCCCCCCCCCGTGTGGGAATCCCATGTTCCCGCGCTTCGCAACGCGCTAGCCGCCACCCCGGCCTGCTGCTTCTGCTAGGGTGAAGGCCATCTGTCACCCTAGCAGAAGCAGGTCGGGTTGGCGGCACGACGAACGCAGGCGCCCTTTAAGTTAGGTTGTAGAACACTTGGTTCCCCGGCAACTGGTAGCCGAGACGGCGTGAGGTTTTTGGTCGGTTCGAGTCCGACATAACCATCCGACCGATGGGTGGTATCCGAGGGGATTTCCGCACAGGAAAAAAAGGGTAGTTAATGTCGACGAGTACTTCTTATTTTTACATTATTTATAATATATTTTGACCATTAAACCATAACTTGCTTATTAGCAACCATGTTTGGATTTACGTATGGCGACTCGTTACAAATGATATTTTTATTATGGAATGGTTTCGATAACCATTCGCTTTTTTTATCATTAGTTTTCGTTGACCAAAAGTAAGGGGGTAAAATAGGGTAGGGTAGTAAAATGCCTTCGACAGTAAATATACGAGGCAAATCGCAATCCATCATCACGGTGTTGACAATGGGGCAAATTAGAAAGTATCCCCTTTAAAACAGAAGTATCTCTTTCAAATCGGGTAACATACATAAAAATAAAATACGGGATCGTGACGACTTGAAGACCTCGTTCTCAAAAAGAAGTATATTTAAGTAAGATCAAAGCGGTTTTTTCAGGATATTATTATTAATTTATTAGATATTTAACATACTATCAAACATATAATTTGTGAACATGGTCTCATAAACACTCGCACAGTTGCGAACCCAAAGAGATGTTGAGTTTATTTGCATAAAGATTTCCACGGGGAGCGGACACGAGCGAGGGTTCTTCCTAAGATTGAAATAATATAATTAATCAAGCAGTTTAGTTACTATGTCATTCTAGGGTAAATATCTAATGGATAATGTACTTCACATATCTTATTTAATTAAAATTAAGAAAGTTTTATATAACCTGGTCTACGTACCTAGTTTAGGTATTGGAAATGTTGTAAAATGTATGACACGGATCATTTCCTTATAATTTGAAAATATATTACGTTTTTTGAGGAAATGATTTTTTATTTTTATTTTTTTATTTTAATAATTTATTTATTTCTTTTTTTATAATTTTTATATTTTATTCTTTAATAATTTATTTTAATTCATTTCTTTCTTTCTTTTTTTTTTAATAAGTTATTTTAATTAATTTAATTCTTTTATTAATTTACTATAATAAAAACAAATAAATCATTTCCTCAAAAAACGTATTATATTTTCAACTACCGATATTTATACCGATGTCAATGGCTACTCGATGGCATCTCAATAGCGTGTCAGTGGTATGACACTGGCTTGGGGTAATAGCAGAATTGAGGCCCTGTACAACTGTATTGACTATAAGAATTGTGTTGTATCTATAATGTACCAATAAAAAAAAAATCTTTTTCATCGTGATGACAAAGAAAATGTAGTCATTTTAAAAGTAAAAGCAAAAAATAATAAGTCTAGTGGCTTAGTTTATTATATTACTTATATTATTATATTTACTTAGATTATTCGTTAGGAAAATTTTATTTTATGTTACTATCATTGGTGATAAATACGTTGGAAAATTTTGAAATGAATTCTGATTTATTTGAAAAATTTGCCTTTATCTTATTCAAAAAATAAGAATTCTTTACATAGACAATATACGTGTCGACCTAGTAACAGCTTGATAAAAAGGAACGTTATGTTACGAAAGAACCAAGCAATATTTAAAACCCTATATATACATACTCCCAAAACAAAAACTTAAACTTAAAAAATATATTACACATCACAACGATTCGGAGATTGACGAGTAGTAACTACTTTCTTCCTAAACTCTTTTCTAAGGAGAGCCTATGTGCAGCAGTTATGCCCAGCAGTGGACCAGTCCAGCAGTAAAGGGTGGTGATGATCTATTTTCTTGAGGACCTTCTTCCTAGGGTGTCATCAAGTCCTTTGCAATAGACTCACATGTGACGAAACACCTTGTGGTTTTAGTCGGTTCAATTCCGATTATCACTGTGAGCACCGGTAAGGTAAACACGCAAAAAAATCAACTTTAGATATTTAAATGTTTAATTTTAGCAAAATAAAAATTCATCATCATCATCAACAGCCTTAATAGTCCACTGCTGGACATAGGCCTTTCGTTAGAAAAAGAGATTTTGGCTAGCCTTTTTTTGAAGAAGAAGTTTGAAGTTTTCCTTCTTTTTGCAGTGCTGTTGTCCCGTGTAGTTTGTTCCCATAGTCGGCTCTTACGACACCCACGGGCTGAATAGGGGTGATGTTACTCCGTATTTGAAATCCGTCATAGATAAAAAAATATAGATAGATAAAACTTCAAAACTGTAAGTAAATAAAATAATGTAAAAAGTCCGTTCAAGATCCAACAAAAAATTACACGGATTCTTCTCTCTGTCGGATACCCGCGGATACGATATCTACAACATAACTAATTATATAGTGTTATTTACCAAATCCGAAATATTTGCACAGTGAGTCACAGTGGCCTCGTTAATTTCGAGTTAGATGATGATCAGAGATGTACTCTAGTCATTGAGGCAATAATCAGCGTGACTCACACGCGGAGTGTTAGGAATTTGGACATCATCTTATTATTGGACACTAGCTGAATTAAGTGTGACATTGTTTACATCGTTGTGGAGTGAGACATTGCTGCTCCTACGTAGTTCTTTTAAAAGAACAATTTCTCAAAAGAATTCAGGAAGCATTTTGTTCTAGTGAGTCATTGTTTTATCAATGTCGTCTGCACTAAAACAGCTATTTATTTGATTGTTTGAAAGCGCTAATCTCTGCAACTATCCTATAGATTATTCAACGCCTTATAGGCTTTTACTTAACATCACGCTACGAATGTTCAGAGCGACCATAAAGCTCAACTGAAGTGCGGGGAGCGGTTAGTTTTTTGAACGATTTTAATAATTATCAATAAAAAAACTGCATGCGGTTTTAAAACATTATGTTCATTAAATTTGTATCAAACATCGATTTCTAGGCACACAGAAAATGTATTTATGTCTGTACTTAATTTGCATAGTTTCATATTCATCATTTCACAAAAACTCAGAACAATCTGCCAATATTTTTTTTATGAAATAACGCAACGCACATCTGCTTTTATAGTATTTTATAAGATCTATAAAAGCCCTGGAGTAGAAATGAAGTATTACCTATCTACCAAACTTTGTCAAACATATATAGTATTCTTATAATGTTTGTATATTTTTCGACCTTTTCATAATTATAATGAAGTTTCGAGGACACCTACATGTCTAGACAAGAAGCAAGTTAAGTCTATTTTTAGTTTCCAGGTATCTGTGTACGACAACGAAGGTGACCTCCTGCTGTTACTTTATATTTATAAAGGTGTCAATTTAATCATTATAACACAACTACAAAATGTTATATTGTTAAAACACAAATTAACAATAACGTTACGTAATCTATATTTGTAAATTTTCAGTTGGTTTATGTACTCAAAAAGCGATTGAACTCAAATTTTGACACGATATACAATCTTTCTCATTTGTCATCAATGCAACCATATTGTGCCCCAGCAAAGCGTGGCAGGGTACAGCTAGTATTATATAGAGAATATAAAAGTGAAGGCATAAAATAACTGCACGGAGGGCGTAGTGGTTTCAGCGGTCACCTCGCCACTTCCTCCTACGCTAAGTGTTGTGGGTTCGATCCCCACATGGGACATCACTTTGTGTGATTCACAAATAGTTGTCCTGAGTCTGGGTGTTCTTTGTGTCCGTTTCATATTTGTTTGTAAAGTCTCCTGCGACACAGGATTATATTCCTAGTGCGGGAGCTATCTTTAAAAAAAAAACTATCAAACGATTTAATACACGTAAAATTGACATAATAACACTACTTCTATTTAATACACGTTCTATTAAAAAAAAGAACTTACAAGTTGAATTAAAAACACTGATGTATGTTTAAACACAAAAATACTATCACTCCTCTCACTGTCATATCCGTACACTGTCATAAGCGCGTGCGCATCTAGGATGTCATCCTGTTAATTTAGGGTGCCCCACTAGGGTGTGGCCAGTGACCTATACAAATGAGACTAACACAATTACACAAGGTACGGGTGATGTAATTACTTGCACTCATTCTATTCAGATCTATTTATAGGTTTGACTAAGCCCCGCAAGTTGCAATACTTGTTTGTATACCTAATTACGTACTAGATAGAAAATGCTGTGTGAATAGAAATTGGCCGGTACGGAGAACTGACTAAACAATTTAATCTTGTATAAAATTCAAGTTAATTTAATTACTATGATTTTTTGGATTTGAAAGGTATAATTATGTTTATTTATTATATGTAAAAGCCCTATAACCGTTACCTCCACAGGTAATTATCCCTGTGTTGCCAATATGATCATTTTTTCTTTCTTTCTTTCATCTTTTTTTTAGGTATCGGTTATGGACTTTCCGGTAACATTACAATTCGAGGCACAGGTATTCTTGTCCTACTCGAGCTATTGCTGACACCTCCCAGTCCATTCGTCGCTTTCCTACACTTGCCTTTCCTTTTTTCCTATTTTTCCTTTTAGCATAATTCAGATTCTGCCGTCTAATTCCTACAGGGCATGATTAACAACAATAGGCTTGCCTCGTAACACTTAAATAAACCTAAAGTTATAGTATGGTACGCCTTGGCTACCACTTTACAGATATAGGCATGATTCTCATAATCTTTGCAAATCTTCATTTGAAGGCAGTGCAATATAGTAATGGGACCATGATTGGTCCTTGCGGCACACCTTTTTAATATACATGCAATTGCGTTTAGCATAAGTTGAATTAATGTCAATATATTCAGGCAAAGTGCATAACTAATTACAGAATTGTCTCATTGTATCACTTTAATAGAAATTTGTTTTGTCACTCACATTTACCTTCAAATGGTGCATGAGTTGCTGTTCATGCTCTTGGGCCAGCTGCTGGCGTTGTTGTTGAAAGTGTTGTAATAGGATCTCTTGCTGCAACTGCTGCTGCTTCTTTAACTGTAACATTTTTTTGAAGACTTAGTGATGGAAGGAATTCAGGGTTTAGTGTATTTATTAGTACTTTCGTTACTTGATGAGTAACTATACAAGAAGAACACTCAAAACTTAGTGTAAAAATATATGTCAATACACAAAAATAAGAGTTTTTAAATGAATTTATTATCATTCTTTAAAATTAGTTTTCATTAGCTAAATTATATGTAGCTAGTAATATTATGTGTTTATTTTTAATGACAATACATTTATCAACAACAGTATTTATAGTTATTCTACCATCACATCAAAACACGGTGTCACATTGAACTAAATTTCTTTAATTTTATTAAAATTATTTACAAACCATGTCCAGATACTTGTACACCTTCTTCATAACTTATGATTATGTTATGAATGTTATGATGTCATATTTTAAATGGCAGTTCGTATATTTTGAAGAATTGTCAAAAGCCTTTGATTCTATGAAATTGCATCAGAAATGAAACTATAGCGTAACTAATGGTTGTAACTATACCCCAAGGCATTATGATTATGGCTTTCACCACTTAATGACCAAGAATTGTGACAAAATTTGGACATGATATCGTATCGTTAAATGTGACACACACACACGGCTCACTGTAAACAATTATAATCGTAAATTTAAACTCACTTGCAACAGGAAACTATTCTCTAATGTCTGTTTCGCCCGCTCAGCAATATGGTTCTTTCTTGGGTTCTGATTCTGACAACGAGAGATGAAATAAAATGTAGGATACAGTCGAAATTCGACCGAAGGGGGCATTAAAGGGGTCGGTCCAAACATGGAACAGATGGTACACCAGATTTGTTTAATGACGATATTTGACAGTTGATCGATAACAAGCAAAAGAAAAAAAAAATTAAACACGAACAGAACTGTCAAGCAGCGGCACAAAAAACTGGTGTGTTTGATACAGGACTACTAAGCTTAAAGATAATTTTGTACTACTAAAGCACAGATTAAAACACTGACTATCGTTTAGTTTCTGCATAAGAGTAAAAGAATTATTTTATTATGTTTATTTTTGTAAGTGTCTATTTACTTGTTATTACTGTGCTAGGTATTGGTTTCTTCTCCTTTTCTAGCAGATCACTAGGTGATAGCAAAATACCACCGCTACTTCCTTGAAGTGACAGTACCCTGAACTGACAACAATTTTTGGCTCATGCAGAGTTATTTTTACAACTCGTAAATCACATTATGTATGTTGAAATATTATTTCTATAAGCTCAAAATAAATGTATATTTCTTTCTTGAATTTTGATATAAATTTGACGTTATTTTAATACCATATCATTAATTGCTGCAACCTTGCACCAGTTAGCGGAAGATATATAAAAAAAAACAACTAATCGTTGGTACGAGGTGCGCGTACGCTTATTTCAGGCGACGCGCGCATTATTTTTGTTTGATGGGGAAAAATGGCGGGCGGCTGGAATGCGCACTTTCTGCGAATAGAACACGCGGACGGATGTTTTGCGCGCGCGAGTGGGCGGCACGTTGTCGTGGTTCGTGGGAGCCCGGGGATCGATCGAAACGTGGTATTCCTTATAGACAATACGGAAGAATCTGGTTTAATGGCGTCGATGGAATTTCTTCTGCCATACAATTAGTAATTGAAACCGAACCGTGGCCACGAAAATTATTTATCTGTTTAATAAATAGAAATAGAGCTACGTAGAAGCCACTTCGATTTAAGTATTTTATTAAGTTTTTGCAGTTTTTAGGCAATAAAAACATTATATTAAAAAAGTAAGACACGGAGGGGCCGTTCAACATTTCATATCTAGTTCTACGCCATATAACACACATATAATAACGTAAGCAAGTCAAACAAAACGATGTACACGTAGTGTATTCGTTCAAGTATAAATAGAGACGCGCGCGCGGTATTAATATCTGGTAAAAATAATGCATATGTAGGTAGACTTGGCTATATTTCAGGAAAAAGGTCACGGTAACGTTGGTTCGCCGCAGTTTCACCAGCATCTTTCTTATGGTATGGAATATGGAGCTAACGAAGACACTGGGCCTCAATTCTGCTATTTTATGTTCACGCCAACTGATACGCTATTGAGATGCCATCGAGTGGCCATTGACATCGGTATAAATATCGGTAGTCTACACTAACTCAGTGTCTTTACAGTGGCGATGGAATGGCAGTGGCTCATCAGTGGTGATATCAAAAAGATTGCCATATTTGGAAAAATAAATAAATCATTTCCTCAAAAAAACGTAATATGTTTTCAAATTATAAGAAAATGATTTATGTGCGAGCGTGTCAGTGGTATGACACTGGCTTGGCGTGAACATAAAATAGCAGAATTGAGGCCCTGGTCACCTGACAATGACTACTACTGCATGGACAACTGCAACGCACTTATGACCGCCAGAGTCCAGTAAGGAGCTGCTCCACTACTAAGGATCCTGGCATTTTCTTCCATTGTTTATATCCTTCGTCAATATATATTCTAATAACTGATAGTTAAAGAGATTGGCGCTTTTATTATTCCTAAGTTCCCGGTTAGTAGTACTGTTTGAATTATTAGTTTTCATTCCAGATAGACGATCACTATTCATTTCGTTTTCTTAGCAGTCTTGTTTGAATTTGAATAAATTGTTTGAGATCGTTTTCATTCTTCGAACGTACGGAACGGAAAATTCTAGACCCTATTTAAAAAACTCTTCGTTTCGTATTTCCCGTGAAGTCTATCCTTTTTCTCTTTTATCTTTTCTAGGACATAGTTCGCACTATTTAACTATATTTCGCTAAATCAGTCATGCTCAAATGCTGCCAACAAATATTTCGTTCGTATTTATTTCAGTAAGCATCCTGGATTCGACAACTTTGCTAGTTTTATAAAAAAAAATACATTTAAACTCTGCCATTCTGTGTCATCACGACAGTTTTTATTGCTTTCGGTTAAATATTATTTGTACACCATTCGTTTTTATTATACCTGTGAAACCGTCAATTACCTATTACATAAATTGCAAATTATAAATGATCCAGCCAAGCCAGGCTATCTAACATCGAGGTATGGCAAACGTAAAAAAATTAACACTGTATTTACTTATAAACTTATTAATTATCATGAGAAACAGAAGTACAAAATATATTTGCAATTAGGCTGGATTAGAACCTCCTTACGTTAAGCAACTATGAATCTAAAACTTAACTGTGTTCTGATTAACTTTATATACAATTTTTTTGTCGTGATCCCCTCAAGTTTAACTGAAGAAAAGTATCAAAATAACGAAGAAAGTGTTTAACTGTACCACGCATAAGTAACTATTATACACCAAAACAAAAATACAAAAACAGATACTATGAAATATAAAAATGCGGCTCCTTATTTTAAAAAGCAATAAATTCCCGGCAGTCCTTGATGAACAGAATTGTTATAACAAAAGAGGCGATTCTGGTATCAACAAAAAAAGAAATCGTAGAAATCCTATTCGTAGGAATTCATGCAAATGAATTGCATAAATATCTGATATATAATAATGCGATCTCAAGATCTGGAGGCGTGGAGAAGGTTGTTCTTAAATATCTTCTGAGGACAAGAGATTGTTTGGACTGTTAGCAATAGGAGTGAAAGCAGATATCTAGATGTTGGTACCTGCATAATCTGGTGGTGGAAGCTGGTTTCGGCAAGCGGAAGACGCGGCGCGTGCGGCGGTGACGGTGTGTGCTGTGGGGAGCCCTCGGTCCCGCCTCCGCTGTCATGCGCCATCTCTGCTAAAGAGAGAGAAAAAATACTATTAGCTGGTATGTAAAGAGAGAGTTCAGACCTGCACTGGGGAGACTTCTTTGTCAGAGGGGCTTTAGAATTGTACTTTACCGAATATGTGAGACAATACAGGGTGTAAGGGACATCGTAACAAATACTGAAATAGTGTATGCAGACCATGATTCTGAGTCGAAAATCATTGGAAATTTTTGCCGGAAAATTCCATTTTTTTTTATATTTTCCATTTTTTTTGGTTGAAAATGATATCACAATGAGTAAACAGAACACTTAACCGAAACAAATTAATAAATACCGCATACGGTCAAAAACTGCAATGTAATTAATCCAACAGCCGAAGCGCGCGGGGCCTTGCCTCCGGCCTCTAACTTGTATTAGTGTGCGTAGACTGTTTGCACGGAATACACATGTAGTTATCACTTTTGTGCGATACCTACGGGAAATGACCTTTGCCTTTGACAGTTGATTGCATAAAAAGTTTGATTTTCCCGCAGAAAATTCCAATGATTTTCGACTCAGAATAATAGTCTGAATACACTATTTCAGTATTCGTTACGATGTCCCTTACACCCTTTATATGAGACCGTGTTGTGCAGTGATCCAATTCTTAAAACTGGCAAAAATTTAAGTATTGATTGGTAATATAAGCAGTTTGTTGATTAAATCGAGTCTGCACGGTTCAAATTACATTCAGATTTGGAACTGTACCTTTATACACCTTCCGAATCCAAGTGGTAATTCCTAAACCTTCTGATTTTGCTGTAAGGCAAAAGCTAAAACAGAAGGACGGAAAAGGAGTACAAACTAACTAAGAAAAAGAGGCACAGGCTATAACAGCGATCTATTTTTACATGTGGAAGAGTGAATTTCGTTTGGAAGTATTACTGGCTTATTTGCCACAAATTTGCTCATTTCCTAAATATTGCATGTTGAATTAGGTCACCGTTATTCAAAGAGTTCAAAACGTCCTATGCTGTTGACTACATTAACAGCACAGTTCCTAAACTTAAACTTAAAGAAGAAGAGATTCTGCCACATTTGTATGTCATCTTGTATTCCGCACAGGTGGGATCGGTTAACGGAATATTCATACATCCAACCGCTGCTGTGGTATTTATTTATTCCTAAGTATTTTATATTTCTAAGTATTTCAACTATTTATTCGGTCAGGTGTGTTTGGTTTAAAGATTCAGACTAAACACTATAATATTGTTTATACAAATTATAGTAAAGCTTTCCAGAAATCCCACACGAAATCTTTCCGCATTTTTTCGAAGTCTGACGACGTCACAAGATGCTTGAGCGTAAATTATATTATTTCACGTATGCATTTATTTTTCGACCTTCTTAACTGGATTTACTAAGACTTAGTTCGGTACTGTAGAGTATATTAGAGACTGTGGAGTTTATTATTAAGTATACGTACGAGAATCAAGGATATCACGTAATAAAAATTACCGTTTGTTTTGTGTCTGGGTGTAATTTATCTAATATACATATGTATGTATTTAAATATATATATTTATTTTTTTAAAAGACTCCCGCATTAGGAATATATCTTGTGTCGCGGGGGACTTTACAAACATACATGAAACGGACACAAAGAACACAAAGAACACCCAGAACATACAACATACTCAGAACAACAATTTGTGGATCGTCCCATGTGAGGATCGGACTCACAACACTCACCGTAGTAGTAAGCGGCGTGGCGACCACTCAAACCACTACGCCATCCGTGCAGTCAATATAAGAAGTCTGGTAACAATAGTACAGGTTCTGTCTAGTTTGGGAGCAGACAGCCGTGTGTGAGATGTTTGACGTTATTAATATTATTACAATTACATATCTACCTGTTTTGTTTAGTCAGCAATAACAATCAATAATCATATAGTGGCACTGGTAGGGGATTTAACACTGTTTTTCATTCAGAACAGATAAAGGCACATAAAAAAATACAAATTCAAATTTCTGTTTTATATAAACTTTTTTTTAATAATGAAAATACGTGCCGAACAATTGTATTATAACACTGCTTACTGGTATTTCTTGAAGTGGCTTAGTGGTAGCAAAATTAAATGCGATGAAGTAAATGCAGGGTCGATTACTTTCAGGTATTAACATTAAAGTCTGTTACACCACCTCCCATCGATAGCCTGTGACCTAAATCGAGGCTAGGTCGAGTACTAGTTTAAATAAAATTACCGACGTTACAAATTTCAAGTTACAGCTATTAATCTCTTTATTCCTAGTTAGAAGTTTTTTAGGATTTAGTTTAAACTATAAAATAATTTATTTTGTCTGTGTGTAATTTATATATAATTTGTATGTATTTCATCATCATCATCAGCAGCCTTTCGCAGTCCGCTGATAGACATAGGGCTCTCTTATTGCACGCCACTTCGATCGGTATGTATTCAGAAATGTATAAATGTTTATCAATAGCACTGCAGAAGGAAGGAAAACTTGAAACAAACCCTATACCGACCCGTCTGGCCAGCGTGGTATAGTAGGCCAAAACCTCCTTTCTAAGGAGAGGCCTATGTCCAGCAGTAAATTAGTAAAGGCTGTTGATGTGATGTGATATGTTTATCAGCCGTTGGTTAGTCAACAGGAACTGCCTAGCTTGGGATCAGACGGTCGTCTGTGGGGTTTTTATTAATTAGAGGTTATTTAGTTATCGCGTAGGGTGCTCAATGTATGAGGTGTGAAAAGTGTAGGAAATATGTGTCTGCTACTACATGTTTAACAAGAGCGCCATCTTCAGATTAAATAACAAAAATCTATTTGTTTTTATTCAGTCACGCCTAAACTGCTGAACGGATATGAATCAAATTTATCACATATTAAATTATGGTTTATACCAGCACATTGGCTACTTTTTACTTGGGAAAAAGTGATTGAAGCAGCTTGCAAATCTAGTTATATATTTTGTTTCACCTCGCTAATGTTTGCAAGGGATGGGTCACCCTTACCATTTAGAGGTATGAAAAATAGATGTTGGCCGATTCTCAGACCTACCCGATGTGCACACAAAATGTCATGAGAATCGGTCAAGCCGTTTCGGAGGAGTACGGGAACGATCATTGTGACACAAGAATTTTATATATAAGATAATACGTGAGGGTATACAGTAATCTTCAAATATATAATGTTTGATAAAGTAACAGCAAATAATTTTGAACATAAATATACATACATATATGGCTTTCTATTACGAGGTCCGTTAAATACTTGTTTCTATGTACTTTGTACTATTCCTCCTTATTAAGCATTAAAGAAATGACCTACAGTTTATTTAACTTTAAATTAGCAGGTTCTGGTAAGTTGTAAAAAAAAGAAATGAGTTCATTCCGTATTGTTGTATGGTTTTGTTTTGTTATTAAACAGATGCGTGACTTTGTTTTAGACATTGCTTATTTTTAAAAAGTGCTTTGTTAACTGCAAATCGCCATTTCTTTTGAACCGACTTCAAAAAACAAGGAGCATCTCAATTCGTCGGAATGTTAATTTGTGTTCACCCATTACTCGAAGACGCCTAAACCAATTTCAATTTTTTTTTATCTATTCTTAGTTGCATTTTTTGGCATATTAAATTAAATTCATTTTATTTCTTTCTTTCATATTAATAATGGTTGACCTGTGACTGAATAGTTATTCAAAAATATTGTTAAGTGAATAGACTATAGAAGAATACTTGGTATTGTAAATATATGACATAATATACCAGTGATGGGTATGTATTATGCAACATGTTGTACAGCCGAACCCTTCCTATCCCAATATTATATGATTGCACTTAAAGTTGCATAAGGCTGCACGCTCTAGCGTCCCGACCTGCTATACCCATTTAATGTAGGTCGCCGGGGGACTGCGGCGAAGCCTGCGGGAGAGGGTGGCCTCCTGACGTGGGGTGGCAGGGAGAGGGGGTAGGTGCGGTAGCTATTTTTGGCGGTGGATATATTTAGAAGAGCTGCCCGGCCGGGACTCAGACACTTTTGCTTTACAGCTCCTGTGTTTCGAGGTCACAACAACCTCAATTTTATATATGCTTGTTTGATATCAATAACAGATGGGAAATTCTAATTCATGGATAAAAAACATGGTACGTCTGAAAACCCTCACCAGAGCAATTGGTGAAGTGGTATGTCATAATTGATACGATTATAACTACACAGTGTTGCTTTCCGAGATTCTATGAAGGCCCCCCTACCCCCTATTCCATGCAATTAAGAAACGATTTCACTTGACCCCAACCCAATTTAAAAATATCTCATCATTAGTTTCTTTAAAAATTTATATATTTATATAAGTTTTAACATGTCCAGAAATCCAATCCTGTATAAATTCTAATAACCACTGACAACTTTGTAATGGAGTTAACAGTTGGTGACCGTCGGGTTATGAACACACGAATAAAATCCTATAACTTTACATCATACAGGAAAAAGGTTTACGGCTAAGTGGTAATCGAGGAGGTTAAGACCAGCCTTGTCAATGCTCAACACCTAACTCTCACTATGAACAGTCTGCTCATCATATCTTCTAGGAATGTAGTCTTTTGTATAATGAACGTAATATAATGCTGAATAGCTTGCAGGTGACATCTGGGGCGGTAGACTGTATCTTGTGTCAACTAGGGTGAATTTCCGTGCGTTTAGGCGATTCTGCCATACATATTATAGAAATCAAATATAGCTCACGTAGGACCGTAGGAGGTAAGATTTTGTGGCCGTGTTGCTTCCCTGTTTAAAAGGGTGTATGCCCATTTTTACTTCATTTTGTCTCCCGCTTTGCTAAGGAGGGAAGTGGATTTACTGTATTTCCAACTCCTCCAATTTTCTTCTGATTAATTTCGTTGCGGGTTCCAAGACAGTTTAATTTCTTCCTCGGACTTCCCAAGTGTCATAACTCGGTGTGTTCGTGGGTCACTGCTGTGGATCCTGGTGTACAGGAGTTACAGTGGTGGGCGTGTGGGTGGGATT